TATCGAACTCGTACCAGGACGATGAATACGCGTTTTGTCTCAGTTCTGCACTTCCTACAACCACATAGGATCGACAGAATTTAGTCTTTAGTATGTTGTTTATTTAATTTACTTATAACTAACTAAATAGATAGATACACAGATAAATAGATAAATAAAAAGTAGGACCCGAATCAGTTTAGATCATGTATGTCAACATACTCTGAATAACATACTGCATGTAACATCAAACCAGAGCGGTTATGGCGAGACTGCCTACAAATACATACTGTATATTTAGCCGCGCTAATAGTAAATGACTTGACATCTGCTCTTATTCACTGGAATTGTAAAGGTCGATGCACACTGGCGAGACATGAAATTGTACGTAGGAAATTCACCAAAGCTAATTACCAACAGACCTAGATGCTTTCATTTTAGTGGCAATCTATAAGGTCGGTGCACTCCAGAAAATAGGTTATTTAACTTCGTTTTCTGAAATATGTGTGAGATAGGGTCAACCAACTGATTCCGAAAAATAGGTTATTGGGCTTTTCTATTTAGCACATTATATTAATTACTTTTATTACGTTGTAGACATTCTTTACTCAATACAAAGTTAAAATGTGAACCATTAGAATCCTAGTTTGTATACATGTCTTTACATGTTATGAATATAACCATCATGTCAGCCATCCTCAATTATTTGAAATTTTCCATTAACTTCTTTCGTTTTCTGTTTGTTTTTTACGGAGGATGAAAGAGGCTTTCCAGAAAAATTCCTGGAACTCCATTTCAACGGACTGCCTAATTGTAAGTATGTATTTCAAGGACATAAAAAGGGTTTGTTAAAATATGTTATTTTCACCTGACGAAAATTAACCGAAGCCATCCACATCAAACGACACCGACCCCTGACCAATAGAGACCAAGGTTACTTCATCCCCTCTGACGTACGATGAACTCATCAACCAACCTTAACTGGTTGTAATACTTGTACAAACACCAGTAAACCCCATAGCTCTCTACCATTGATGCCGTACAGAATCGAGCTATGCGCTTCTTCCTGGGACTCAAGCAACTGCAAACCAAGAAACGGGGTGCTACGGAGTAGTTTACTGTAGGAGGCTGTACGAGGCGATGACAACTGACATGCATCGTGACGTCGGTTACCAAGGCAGTGACGTCATTACAGTGTGACGTCATGCAAATATTGTACTACAGTACAAAACTCTTCCGCAACCTCTTTATGAAACCGGTTTCGGTTTGAAACCACAAAATAACAAAAATACGCTATTTTGTCAATTTAATGCATGTAAGAAGTGGGTAATAAATAAAATACCACACTCGGTCTCATTACATACGAATTATATTACGAAACTCTTGACCTTCCTATGTTATCTGACCTCGCTTTCGCTCGGTCAGATACCATAGGAAGGACACTCGTTTCGTATAATTCGTATGTAATGAGACCTCGTGTAGTATTCTCTATATACGCAGCGAATTTCCGGGAATCGAATACCATTCGATCACGTTTTTCAACCAATCAGATTAAAGAACACAGTGACTGTTGGTTTACAATTACATGTAGGTTGAATATTGCCGAGTGGGGCGTTAAAACAAACAAACAAAACAAAGTGTGGTGGTTTGTGTGCTGGTGGAGTGCTGAACCTTAAATAGTACACAATAGTAGGCAGGCGTAAGCTGTCCTAAAGAAAGGAGTGCTCAAAGCTATCAATCCTATACCACAGCTTACAGCATCTGTCGCAACTCGGGTGCTTGTTCGAGCATTAACCACGCCGTTATTTGTCGCCTTGTGAGGACGCACCGAAAGTGTCCAACTCTCCATCAGGCGGCTGCAGGCTGCTGGTTTAAGGAAACGTCGCCCGGTCTGGCCGGCGTCCCTTCCTCACAGAGAAGCACAGCCAGGAAATGTCTGGCGTGATGCAGGCTCCCAGACAACCTCAGCTCGATGACAAGGCAACTCCATGAGGGCAGTCGTCGAATGAGAGTTGCCATTTTCTACACTTATCAGGACAATTGACAGTGAAATCGGACCTCTACATCAATGGATAATATAAGAACATGTCCAAAGGCTAAAGCCTGAAAACCTCCTACGACTGATTTGTTATTATCATGCCACTTCCTATACATACAACAAAGCAGGGGAGCATCTCCGATCAGTGGCCAGAACATGCCCTGGAGAAGAAAGCAACCATTGGTTCAGTTGGGTACCAATCCTAAGGTAAAAGTAACGAATCGGACAAAACTGCTTCAGATACGACATGGGTGTACACCACTAGGAGTCCGTCTTCGAGGAGGGAAACCCACAGAAGTACAGTTTACAGGGTCCTATATGAGATACAGCATACTACATGATAAGGCAATATGCGCAACTGTTGTCAACCAGTAAAGACTGGAGGTAACAGAGTTATTTTTTTAAGCCACATTGTTTGGGCGTAAAGTAATACATAATTGTCATCTGAAGTTAGCTCAGGTGTCAGCTCGAGTGCTGTTGATAGAGTATTTGTATTGGGAAAGTGTATTGCTATATTATTGACTTTGAATCATACGAATATCTGCAAGAAATACACCTCGTATTATTTCAATTAATACGAAAAGACATGAACAGTCCATCTGACGTGGTGGGCGAGCTGTGTAAGGCGCTAGGCCAGTGATCCGGGATCGAGCCCGCCTGTAATCGGGTGTAAAAACCTTTGAGTCAACGTTGTGTGCAGACTCTTTCAGTGTTGTCACAACCCCTAGTATACAGGACACAACCCTGTGTACTTAAAAGAACCCACGAATCCGTTGGTAAATGAGTAGATGGTGGCCACATGAATACCTGCAAACAACTACAGTAGTTGGCCATGGAACTTCTTACCATTATCAGATTTGTATCTTCCCGACAGTTTCAGTGAAACTAGAGTAACACAAGACACTACAGTGAATATGTATGGCCTGGCTCTACTAGAAGTGTGCAAGGTATGGGGTATACATATCGTTAACGGTAGGAAAAAAGGCGATGAAACTGGGTCTATTACATGTATTACACACAATGGTTCAAGTCTTGTTGATTTTATATTGGCGTCGACTAGTTGTTTTTACTTGATTAAGGATATGTTTGTCCACTCGCGGTCAGACTCTGACCACCTGCCTCTATCGTGCATTGTAGAGGTATCCGTCGAGGATTGTGGTGATAACTCGCTAGTAACCAGTGTTCGTCATGTAGAGTGTGAAAAACTCGTAAAGTTCAGGTGGAACAATGGTGGTTTAGACAAGTTCAATGAGTCTGTAGCGTCTAGTACAGCGAGTTGTATATTAGATGAGTTTCTTGATCTAGTCTATTCTGATATCAATGGTGCCACCGAGAAACTTGTTGAGTTTCTCCACTTTGTGGGAAGTCACTTTCAATGTCGTGATGTTCAGATCCCGAAATCAAAGAATATTCAACCTACTCGTATGTCCATTTTATTCACAACGCTCTTTGTACATTCCTGATTTTTATATGATATCTCCAACCAGATCAAAGTTTACCCAGCTGCTTGCAACAAAGAATGTAAAACTCCTAAAAAATATTGCAATTTATCTTAAACTATATTTACCTGTATAAATTGTAAATTGTTCTCCTGACCATGTGCTATATTTTGCTTATTGAATTGTACTTTTGGTCATGTGGCCATAAATACTGAATAAAGCTCTTCTTCTTCTTCTTCTTCATAAGTGAGTCATCATTAGTGAAATTCCCATAGACTTGCATGCTAATTAACTCTTGCAAGATTATTTTCATAAATTTAGTTTCGGTCGAACTGCTTTCAATACTTATCTACCAGCTGACAATCATCTCAGCTGCATACTCATAATTTCCATTCAATGTTCCGATGGTTATTAAGAAAACAACTATTTAAACAACATATATTAGACATACCCATCAGGTTCAACATGCCAGTCTATGGGATAGATTAAAAGTTGTACTTATATATGGTGCTTAATCAGGTGTCATTCGATAACTAATGGACGTAAAGATGAAAGAAAATTGTGTACACGTAGCTGAAGATGATTTGAAAGATGTTTGCAAAGTATCAAAATAAAATTTCTTCTCAATTTATGAAAAGTATTCTTGCAACAATTAACATGTAAATCTATGGAAATTTCATTAATGATGATTCTAGCACGACATTGTGTGATACTCGATTCTGATTGGCTTAGAGCTCATCAAAACCGTACTTAAATGGCAGTTTAAGACCGCTAATTAAAGTGACCGATTAATTAAGACCGCTAAATGTTTAATTTAGCGGTCTTAAATCAACGATAAAGAACCGCAAAATTGAAAACAGTGTAGCTTTATCTTCTAACTCACTGATGCCCGCAACAGTTGCGGGTACAGCCACGTGCAGTAAACTTGGACAACGTACTGTGACTGTCTGCCCCAGTCCACCCAGCTGGGAATGAGTACCTCGTAAGGATGGGAAAGCCACGTTAACTCAGTGCGCCTAGTGACTACAATAGTTGTATGTTCCCCAGGGAGTTGAAATTGATAATACAATGTCCCGTTTGAGATTGACATCCAATGGTCGAGGGAAAAACAACTTGTGAAGCGCCTTAGAGTGACCTAGAAGTGGTTCAAATAGGGCTATAGAAATGTGGCATATAATAGTAATATAATAATAATAATGCTATCAAAGTAAACTGGAACAAGAACGCCTGTTTTAGAAACATTACACGCCTCTATTTAGCGACTGGCGAGCACATGCTGTTATTCATGACTCCGCAGTCTGAACGCGTCTGCTACAGGCAGGGTTGTATACTAATGTCGTAAAAACTAATCGTATTAATTGTAGGCTATTAAGAATGTTAGGCGTCCAGTGAGTTCATAAATGTGAGTCAATGGATAAATATGGATTAATTTAAAATTTCATATAGAATGTTCTTAATAATTGCATCCATTTGATGATTGGTGTACATCTCACAAATTACTTGTGGTTTTGTATATAACTAGTTGTAAAGTCCGTAGGATCAAGAACAACAGTGCTATGGCGGCTAACCAGTGCCACTTCTTACCCACAGAAAACTAACGGGAGTACTTTCGAAACGAAGACGAAACAAGAATAATAAGTGGGTGAGTACTCACAGCTAGCATATGTGTAAAGTATAATGTACATAAAAGCAGCTAATGGAGCTCAAGTCAAAGAATCAAGTCACGCAAGACTGAGATTCCGAGCGAGCTTAGAGGACCTGTGTAAGTCTCGTGGTAATATCGCCATAGTGTTCATTTGTCGTTTAAAGGGAGGTAACCACCTGGCCTGTCTGTAAATTTTGTTGTGGGCGGGGTCATGGAGGATGTGATAGGACTTTGTTTACTATTTGACATTTGATGGGCATGATGGAGAGAGTGTGTGTCGGACAAAATACCCCCAGCGATGACCTGATGTATCATATCTTCAGATGAATTGTAATTCTTCAATTATTTTGTCAAACATCTACTTAGTGAAGGCAGTACCATGATTGGTGGTACCATGATTGCTTACATCAGTGTATGAAATAAGCCAAAATAAGCCAAAAGTCCAGCCAGACATCAGGGCTGGCAAATTCAAAATGTTACCAGCCCAAAATGGATTTAACCAGACCAAAATATGGTGAATTTACTCAGATGTATGGAACATCTAAATTTTTTACCAGACCATCCGGCTGGCTAGCTGTATATTTAGACAGTCCGTCAGAAATCTAGACCGTCTCGGGCGGTCGGACGGGCCTTATGTCATAAACTGCTTACATTCGGTATAAATAGCATAAAACAAGGCAGATGAACAGATAAAGCAAAGTAATGTCTGCATTCTAAAAAATACATGTCTGAAACACCGAGGCTTCTCAGCCTCACCAAAGTTTATGAATGGCCAACACTGAAGGCATTTGAGTGAACCTGTGTATTCCCCCTGCCTGTCTCAGGTAGACAGCAGTAGTTGTCTGAAGCTGGCAACCACGCTGTTGCTTCCACTGAGCTGAACTTGTGATGAGGGCATGGGGAGTCAGGTTGCAGTGCTATTTTCAACACTTCTGCCTAGATTACTATCTACATATATATGCTGGATTGTGGCTGGTAGATAACTGGGTTATTACCCAGTGGTCATATATATGTTTGTAACTCCTAGATACAGATACACAGGGCTACACAACAGTACATTGTTGTACAAGATGCATGTCTTTGAGACATGAGTGCTAGGATGTGTTTAAATGTAGACAGCAGGGAGGTTTCTTTGAGTAGCATTTACTAGAAGTTGGTGTGATGAAAAAAGGAGCTACTTCTATATTGATGTACAACTTCTTTAATTGCAGAAGTTGTATATTCATAGAAGTGGCTTCCTTTGTTCAGGGGCGGTGGGGTAGCCTATTGGTTAATGCATTGGCTCATCACGCCGAAGACCCGGGTTCGAATCCCCACATGGGTACAATGTGTGAAGCCCATTTCTGGTGTCCCCTACTGTGATGTTACTGGAATATTGCTAAAAGCGGCGTAAAAAACCAAACTCAGTCAGCCAATCCTTTGTTCAGCAGGGCTTCCTTGGTATGAGTCTGAATCCAGGAGTTTTATTGGTTAGGTACCAGAATGATATATCTACTCAGGATAGTTTTTGAATCATTCAGGTCTTTTAAAACACAATTTAGAACAGCTGATCCCATTGATCGTGGTTGTTGATGTTGTCTCCCCCGCAACTACATGCTGTAATCGGTACACACAGCCAGATTACATACTGATGTACTAGTCCAGGAGATTAGGGGCATGCTGTAATCGGTACACACAGCCAGATTACATACTGATGTCCACTAGTGCAGGAGATTAGGGGCATGCTGTAATCGGTACACACAGCCAGATTACATACTGATGTACTAGTCCAGGAGATTAGGGGCATGCTGTAATCGGTACACACAGCCAGATTACATACTGATGATGTGCTGTAATCGGTACACACAGCTATTACATACCAGGAGATTAGGGGCATGCTGTAATCGGTACACACAGCCAGATTACATACTGATGTACTAGTCCAGGAGATTAGGGGCATGCTGTAATCGGTACACACAGCCAGATTACATACTGATGTACTAGTCCAGGAGATTAGGGGCATGCTGTAATCGGTACACACAGATTACATACTGATGTACCAGGAGATTACATACTGATGTACAGATTACATACTGATGTACTAGTCCAGGAGATTTGGGGCATGCTGTAATCGGTACACACAGCCAGATTACGTACTGATGTACTAGTCCAGGAGATTAGGGGCATGCTGTAATCGGTACACACAGCCAGATTACATACTGATGTACTAGTGCAGGAGATTAGGGGCATGCTGTAATTGGTACACACAGCCAGATTACATACTGATGTACTAGTCCAGGAGATTAGGGCCATGCTGTAATCGGTACACACAGCCAGATTACATACTGATGTCGTGTACTAAAATACTGTCGGAAATAGAAAAAACTGTTTTAGGCTGTTACTCTGACAAATTTACAAATAGCATATATCGAAATAACCCATATCGGCTTAACTGGGCATTCAGTGGGATGCGTAATAGTATATCCAGAAAAGCCAGTTTACTCGTACAATTGGGCAAAACTTAGAAAAAATACGAATAGCTGCTCAAAACAATAGATCAGACTATAGATGGCAATTAGGTCGTTCAGCCAGGTATGACGACGGACCGTCGACTCACCTGGCATGAAATGCACGTCCTGCCTACAAGCACAAGGGGTCAACTCAAAGATATTTATGTTTTTTCATGTGTGTTGAATATGTCTCATCTATTGATCATAAAGTTTATGTTGAGATACGTAAATGGGTATGATACCCATGGAAAAGCTTAAATCAGCCATCGTATTAAATGTCTCAAAATATATAGGTGGCATGACCACCCGAAGATCGACAGGACTGGATAAGATTTCTAAATTGTTATGACATGCCGTTTGCTTGCCAGTTTAATTCCCTTAAATGATTATCTTATCTCATCCCGACCCCAACCACCGTCTGCAACACCCGTCCTGGATTTGCTTTTGAGACGACCCCTCCTACCTGTTTCTTTTTATAGTGATAGTGAGACTCCATGGTAGCTACATCCTTCATAGTTTCAGTATTAAAGTTATTTTTTTTATCCCCCTGGCATGTAATGCGGAGGGATATAGTCGACGCCTCGTCCGTCCGCAATCATTTTGTTTCCGGAGCATAACTCAAAAACCGTTCATTATTTTTCAACAAAAATAGGTAGATATATCAAACAGAACCTAAGGAGGTGCCTTTTTGCTATTTACAGATTTTTGTCATTTGTATTTTTCTCAGTTTCCTTGGAAACGTTTTGGACTTAGTCTTAAAGGGAGGGGTGGGCTTCGTTTCCGGAGCATAACTCAAAAACCGTTCAATATTTTTCTGCAAAACTTTGTAGATATATCAAACAGAACCTAAAGTGGTGCCTTTAGCTATTTACAGATTTTGGTCATTTTTATTATCCCCCGCAACACGTTTTGCAGGAGGGTATTAAAATGGACTCCGTCCGTGCGTGCGCGTCCGTCCGTCCGTCCGTGCACATTTGTCTTTTCCGGAGCAGAACTCTAAAACCGTTTACTATTTCTTCACCAAACTTGGCACATAGATAGATCTGGTGGTGTACTGGTGCCTTTTGGTAGTTTTGGAATTCTGAATAAAACATTTTTGGCATTTCCATGGCAACAAGTTTGACTTAGAATGAAATTAGTGGTAGTGCTCTTTTCCGGAGCTGAACTCTAAAACCGTTAACTATTTCTTCACCAAACTTGGCACATAGATAGATCTGGTGGTGTACTGGTGCCTTTTGGTAGTTTTGGAATTCTGAATAAAATATTTTTGGCGTTTCCGTGGCAACATGTTTTGACTTAGCCTGAAATTGGTGGTAGTACACTTTTCCGGAGCAGAACTCTAAAACCGTTCACTATTTCTTCACCAAATTGGCACATAGATAGATCTGGTGGTGTACTGGTGCCTTTTGGTAGTTTTGGAATTCTGAATAAAATATATTTGGCATTACCATGGCAACAAGTTTGACAAAAACAGAAATTAGTGGTAGTGCACTTTTCCGGAGCAGAACTCTAAAACTGTTCTATGTTTCTTCACCAAACTTGGCACATAGATAGATCTGGTGGTGTACTGGTGCCTTTTGGTAGTTTTGGAATTCTGAATAAAATATATTTGGCGTTACCATGACAACAAGTTTGACTAAAACAGAAATTAGTGATAGTGCACTTTTCTGGAGCAGAACTCTAAAACTGTTGAATGTTTCTTCACCAAACTTGGCACATTGATAGATCTGGTGGTGTACTGGTGACTTTTGGTAGTTCTGGATTTCTGAATAAAATATTGCATTTCCATGGCAACAAGTTTGACTTAGACTGAAATTGGTGATAGTGCTCCTTTCTGGAGCAGAACTTTAAAAACCTTTCAATACTCTCCTTCCACTTTTCTATATACACACCTAAATATTTGACATAATCATAACTCGTAGACATCATCATGAAGAATATTTTGCCATTGCGGGGGATATTGATGACTTTGTCTACTTGTTTTTCTTAGTTTCCATGGGAACGAGTTGAACTTAATCTCAAAAAGGAGGAGTGACCTTCGTTTCCGAAGCACAACTCGAAAACCATTCAATATCTTTCTTCAAGACTTGGTAGATATATCAAACTTAAGCTAAAGTGGTGCCTTTTGCTATTTACAGATTTGGGGCATTTTTATTTTTCTTGGTATCCATGGAAACGTTTTGGACTTAAGGGTGTAGGTTTCGTTTCCGGAGCACAACTCGAAAACCATTCAATTATCTTTCAGCAGAACTTGGCAGATATATGAGACAGATGTTGAAGTGGTGCGTTTTGCTATTTGCAGATGTTTAGCATTTTTATTTTTCTTAGTTTCCATGGAAACAATTCAGACTTAGTCTCAAAAGGGAGGGGTGGGCTTCGTTTCCGTAGCACAACTCGAAAACCGTTCAATATCTTGGCAGATATATGAGACAGATGTTGAAGTGGTGCTTTTTGCTATTTGCAGATTTTTGGCTTTGTTCTTTTTCTTGATTTCCATGGAAACGATTTGGACTTAGTCCAAAAATATCAAGTTGGACTTTAAGTAACTTTCAGTTGATTTGTTCTTTCAAATTTATGGGGGTCGGGGGGATTTGTCATCTTCTGATGACTCTTGTTTTTCTCGGTTTTCATGGAAACGTTTTGGACTTAGTCTTACAAGGGGGGTGGGCTTCGTTTCCGTAGCATAACTCAAAAACTGTTCAATATTTTTCAACAAAACTTGGTAGATATATCAAACATAACCTTAAGTGGTGCCTTTTGCTATTTGCAGATTTTTATCCCCCGAGACGCGTTTAGCTGGTGGTATTAAAATGGACTCCGTCAGTGTGTGCGTCCGTCCGTCTGTGCACATCTTTTCCGGAGCATTACTCTAAAACCGTTCAATATTCCTTCACCAAACTTGGCACATACATAGATCTGGTGGTGTACTGGTGCCTTTTGGTAGTTTTGGTATTCTGAATAAAATATTTTTGGCATTTCCATGGCAACAAGTTTGACTTATACTGATTGGTGGTAGTGCTCTTTTCCGGAGCAGAACTCTAAAACCGTTCACTATTTCTTCACCAAACTTGTTACATAGATAGATCCGGTGGTGTACTGGTTCCCTTTTGGTAGTTTTGGAATTCTGAATAAAATATATTTGGCGTTTCCTTTGCAACAAGTTTGACTAAAACAGAAATTAGTGGTAGTGCACTTTTCTGGAGCAGAACTCTAAAACCATTCAATGTTTCTTCACCAAACTTGGCACATACATAGATCTGGTGGTGTACTGGTGCCTTTTGGTAGTTTTGGATTTCTGAATAAAATATTTTTGCATTTCCATGGCAACAAGTTTGACTTAGACTGAAATTGGTGATAGTGCTCCTTTCTGGAGCAGAACTTTAAAAACCTTTCAATACTCTCCTTCCACTTTTCTACATACACACCTAAATATTTGACATAATCATAACTCGTAGACATAATCATGAAGAATATTTTGCCATTGCGGGGGATATTGATGACTTTGTCTTCTTGTTGGCGTTTATTTTACTCATGATTTCCATGGAAACGATTTGGACTAAAAAAAATCAAGCTGGACTTTAAGTAACTGTCAGATGATTTTTCCTTTCAAATATGAGGGGGCCGGGGGGATATGTAATCTTCCGATGACTCTTGTTGGCATTTATATTTTTCATGATTTCCATGGATTTGGACTTAGTCTAAAAATAATTCAAGTTGAACTTAAATTGACTGTCAGATGATTTGTTCTTTCAAATATGTGGGGGCTGGGAGGATTTGTCATCTTCTGATGACTCTTGTTTATGTCAGCTATCGTTTATGATGAATCTAAGTTTAATTTCAAAATGGACATTTAAAAATTGTCCTTTGTAATATAATTTTGCACACTAATTTGCATAAAGCCATGGAATGTTTCAAATAAGTCACATTTCTCATTTCTGCAATAATCTCTCCTCAGTAAAGTCTTTTTTTCTACGTTTCCGATCTCCCTACCTCTGAGACTGTAGTTAGGCCGAACTTAGTTTAACAGATATTTACACTTACACATATTAACTACATAAATTGTAGACATCAATGCAAACAAACTTTTTTTTTCTATTGCCAACAGTACTTTAGTCCAGGAGATTAGGGGCATGCTGTCCGGTTAATTAGTAGTTGGTTTGTTCCCGCAATTCATGTAGTAGCAACAAATGTAACATGAAATTATTCCTATGAAAAGGAATACACGCATACATGGCCTTGTACTTCATACAAAAGATTAAAGGAGGTGAATGAATCAAATATTCCAAAGGAAAACAAATTGCAAGAAATGTAGAGTGGCTGTATAGCATTGTCTGCCCGGAGAGAGGAAGGTCGTGGCTTGAATCCCCTGCCACGTCATACCAAAAGACGTTAAAATATGGCACTTGTTGGTCCTTGCCTGGCGCTCGGCATTAATGGGTACATCAAGGACTGGTCGGCTCGGAGTCAATATAATGTGTCTGAGTGGGATATTCATGCTTAAGTGCGGCATGGTATCTCAGTGGGCTAGTGCAATTAAACCAGCTTAAGTCTGGGCTAGTACAAGCAGTCACACATACACACGCATGCACGTCGTCATGTGAATGAATATTCTGAAGTGCGACATTAAACTCCATTTCACTAGGTGGTGACAGGCCAGAAGGTATGTGAGGTGACAGGCCAGGGGGTGATGGGCCAGGTGGTATGTGTGGTGACAGGCCAGGTGGTGACGGCGCGGTGGTGATGGCCCGGTGGTATGTGTGGTGACGGATCAGGTGGTGACAGGCCAGGTTGTGACAGGTCAGGTGGTGACAGGTGAGGTGGTATGTGTATTGACAAGCCAGGCGGTATTTTTGGTGACAGGCCTGGTGGTGACAGGCCAGATGGTGACAGGTCAGGTGGTATGTGTATTGACAAGCCAGGTGGTATGTGTGGTGACAGGCCTGGTTGTGACAGGTTAGGTGGTGACAGGTCAGGTGGTGACGGGCCAGGTGGTATGTGTATTGACAGGCCAGGTGGTATGTGTGGTGACGGGCCAGGTTGTGAGAGGCCCGGTGGTGACGTGCCAGGTGGTATGTGTATTGACAGGTCAGGTGGTGACAGGCCAGGTGGTATGTGTATTGACAGGCCAGGTGGTATGTGTGGTGTCAGGCCAGGTGGTGTAGGGGCCCAGTGGTATGTGTGGTGACAGGCCAGGTGGTGTCAGGCCCGGTGGTGACAGGCCAGGTGGTATGTGTATTGACAGGCCAGGTTGTGTTAGGCCTGGTGGTGTCAGGCCAGGTGGTGATGGCCAGGTGGTGACAGTGCCCAGTGGTATGTGTGGTGACAGGCCCGGTGGTGACAGGCCAGGTGGTGACAGGCCAGGTGGTATGTGTATTGACAGGCCAGGTGGTGTTAGGCCAGGTGGTGACAGGCCAGGTGGTATGTGTATTGACAGGCCAGGTTGTGTTAGGCCAGGTGGTGTCAGACCAGGTGGTGATGGCCAGGTGGTGACGGTGCCCAGTGGTATTTGTGGTGACGGGCCAGGTGGTGACAGGCCCGGTGGTGACAGGCCAGGTGGTATGTGTATTGACAGGCCAGGTGGTATGTGTGGTGACAGGCCAGGTGGTGATGGCCATGTGGTATGTGTGGTGACAGGCCAGGTGGTATGTGTGGTGACAGGACAGGTGGTGATGGCCATGTGGTATGTGTGGTGACAGGAAAGGTGGTATGTGTGGTGACAGGCCAGGTGGTATGTGTGGTGACAGGCCAGGTGGTGACAGGCCAGGTGGTAGGTGTGGTGACAGGCCAGGTGGTGTTAGGCCAGGTGGTATGTGTGGTGATGGGCCAGGTGGTGACAGGCCAGGTGGTATGTGTGGTGACAGGACAGGTGGTGACAGGACAGGTGGTATGTGTGGGTCATGCATGTGAATTGCACTCAGACCAAACTTGTAAGCTGTTATGTTTACTGCTGCTACAACCCCTCGTGATACCAAAACAAACTGAAATTTTAATGATAGGTACTTAAGTAACTTTTTCCTCAAGTGACCAACAAAGTTCAACTATTTTAACTTATTACGTCAAAGGGGATCATTAAGATGTGGACAGTTTGTGTTATTTGGAAGATATTTCACAAAAGGGGTTTATGACTGGTTTTACAGGGTGAAAAGGGTTGGGTCAATCTTTTGAGTGAGTGAGGTTGTATTTATTATCTGTTGGAATTATCCCACTCTGAAATATATACATTCCCTGAGGATGCTTCAGGAGATTCAGTGGTCTGTGTTGTCTTCTTCAGGAAGGTTGTCTGTAAGAATGCCAAGCGTGGATATCCCAGTCAGCCTGTCAGAGGCACTGGAGATACGTGGGGCACCACTCCAGGAAGCAGAGGTCTGGGGAGTCCTCTGTCAGAGTGGTCAAGCCCTGCAGAACCTCTTTGTTAGAGGTGAGTACTGCTGCACCGAGTTACTGTACACACACAGGTACAATACTCCACATACAGGTACAATACTCTACACAAAGGTGCAATATTCTACACTCGCAGGTACAATGCTCCACACACAGGTACAATACTCTACACACAGGTACAATACTCTACACATAGGTACAATACTCCACATACAGGTACAATACTCCACACACAGGTACAATACTCTACACACAGGTACAATACTCTACATACAGGTACAATACTCTACACACAGGTACAATACTCCACATACAGGTACAATACTCCACACACAGGTACAATACTCTACACACAGGTACAATACTCTACATACAGGTACAATACTCTACACACAGGTACAATTACTCTACACACAGGTACAATACCCCCCACACAGGTACAATACTCCACACACGGGTACAATACTCTACATACAGGTACAATAATCTACACTCGCAGGTACAATGCTCCACACACAGGTACAATACTCTACACACAGGTACAATACTCTACACACAGGTACAATACTCCACATACAGGTACAATACTCCACACACAGCTACAATACTCTACACTCGCAGGTACAATACTCTACACACAGGTACAATACTCCACACAGCTACAATACTCCACACACAGGTACAATACTCCACATACAGCTACAATACTCCATACACAGGTACAATACTCTACACACAGGTACAATACTCCACACACAGGTAGAATACTCTACACACAGGTACAATACAGTGAAGCCCCGTTAGTCCGGACTCCGATAATCCGGAAGTCTCGCCTCCCGGACGATTTCAGCTTGTTACCAATCTATGCCTATATAATTTGCCTCGATAATCCGGAAATTCGGTTTCCGGAACTGGACGGTAAGTAGCTGTCACCAATCAGTAAAATAAACAGTAAATTGCTTCACCGTCCGGACGCTGTTAAGTCGTGTTCACGAACTGTAACAACACTTCCCGGCGATGTTTATTTAACTGGCCTCAAACAATATACACTCGGTGTCATGGAGTTGACAAGATGAACTCTTGTTAACTTTTGAGACATGCCAGTTAACGGTTGTTGTTTTAATTACACATAAAAGCTCCCGACTGAAGCTGTTCATTTACAGTTTGATTGACACCTGTCAGCAAACATGGCGAGTCAACCTTCTAAAAGAAAACGAAATGAGACTACCGCATTCGAAAAGAGAGAGATTGCAAGATACAAGGAAGAACATCCAAAAGCAAGTTTAGATTTCCTAAGTAAACACTTTGGTGAATTATTTGGACATTCAGTGGGGAAATCTACAATCGGTGACATCCTGAAGTCCAAGGAAAAATGGCTTACCATTCCGGAAGATTCTGCGGCCCTGTCTCGAGCAAGAAACGCCAAACATAAGAAAATGGAGGAGGCGCTCTTTTATGGATGAATGACATGACCAGTAAGAATGCAGCTGTTAATGACGAGATGTTGATTCTGAAAGCGAAAGACTTCGGTGACAAGTTGTCAATTAAGGATTTCGCGTATTCTCGTGGATGGCTGGCCAGGTTCAAATCTCGACACTCGATTTGAAGCAAGTGCTCCAGGGTGAAGCAGCCAGTGCCGACAAGACTGCAGTCATCGCGGGAGGGAGGAACTGAAGAAAGTTTTAAGCGAGTACGACGCCTTGAAGCTATTTTCAACATTGATGAAACAGGACTTTTTACAGATTAGGACCGAATTACACCCTAGCAACTAAAGCCACGCCTGGTGTGAAACGGTCAAAGGACAGAATAACTGTGGCATTGTGTGCAAATGCAAGCGGAACTGTAAAAGTAAAGCCATTTGTGATCGCTAAGGCAAGAAGACCGAGGTGTTTCGGACGTGATTTTAACCCAGAAGTCTATGTGAGATATCGACACAATACAAAGGCGTGGATGACAAGTGAGCTGTTTTGTGATTGGTTGTTGTACTTTGACAGACAGATGCGGTCACGTGGACTTAAAGTGATTTTGCTTCTCGACAACGCTGCAAGTCACAAGTGTGCTTCACTAACTTTGCGAAATGTGACCTTGCATTTTTTGCCACCAAACACAACGTCACATATTCAACCGATGGATGCAGGGATAATTCGGACATTTAAAGCATACTACAATAGATCGCTTGTGAGACATTACATCACCTGTGCCGAGGAGGGGCGTGACCAGAAACTGACTGTGAGACAGGCACTTCTCTTTGTGAAAACTAGCTGGGACGAAGTTAGTGCGCAAACAATTAGCAACTGTTACAGACATGTGGACATTATTTCTGAAGGTGATTCAGATTCTGTGGATGAAGATGACATTGCATTGTCGGAGCTAAGACTTCTCCTTAATGAGTATCCTTCATCGGATGTTGTGAGCGCCGAAGAATATGTCGCCGAAGAAGACAGTGAGTCAACATGCGAGCCGCTCACGGACAGCGCAATCATTGACATTGTCCAACCAACTGACGATTGTGAAGAAGAAGAGGAGGAAAGTGATCCAGCCCCCGTTCCACCAAGTTGTACAGAGGCAGAGAAATACTTGGAAAGTCTGGTGACATATTTTGAGACAATCGGGGATGAGATGTTACTCGGCAAAATTATTGATGTCAAGAATTCCATGAAAAAGGTTAAAAGAACACAGACAACCATGAAAGACTTTTTGCTCTGATTTATTGTTGTGCCAGCTATCCATCGTTTTATAAGCTTTACATTAAATGCTTATTTGTTTTATCCAGAGTCGTGTCGTTTTTGTAATAGAAAGGGAAGCAACTCTTGCTTGAACTTGGGTCTTGATTCAGTAGTCCGGACAATTCGGTATCCGGACAAATTTGCTGAGAAACGCAACTGTCCGGATTAACGAGGCTTCACTGTACTTCACATACAGGTACAATACTCCACACACAGGTACAATACTCCACACACAGGTACAATACTCCACACACAGGTACAATACTCACATACAGCTACAATACTCCACACACAGGTACAATACTCCACACACAGGTACAATACTCTACAAACGGGTACAATACTCCACATACAGGTACAATACTCTACATACACGTACATTACAATACTCCACACACACGTACAATACTCCACACACAGGTACAATACTCCACATACAGCTACAATACTCCACACACACGTACACACACTCTACACACAGGTACAATACTCCACATACAGCTACAATACTCTACACACAGCTACAATACTCCACACACAGGTACAATACTCCACACACAGGTACAATACTCCACATACAGGTACAATACTCCACATACAGCTACAATACTCCACACACAGGTACAATACTCCACATACAGGTACAATACTCCACACACAGGTACAATACTCTACACACAGGTACAATACTCCACATACAGGTACAATACTCCACACACACGCATAATACTCACACACAGGTACAATACAGCTACAATACTCCACATACAGGTACAATACTCTACACACAGGTACACACTCCACATACAGCTACAATACTCTACACACAGCTACAATACTCCACACACAGGTACAATACTCCACATACAGCTACAATACTCCACATACAGGTACAATACTCCACACACACTCCACTACAATACTCACACAGGTACAATACTCCACATACAGGTACAACACTCCACATACAGGTACACACTCTACACACAGGTACAATACTCCACATACAGGTACACACTCCACAGGTACAGGTCCACATACAGCTACTCCACATACAGCTACAATACTCCACACACAGGTACAATTCACTCCACACACAGGTACACATACTCCACACACAGGTACAATACAATACCACAACACTCCACATACAGGTACAATACTCCACATACAGCTACAATACTCTACACACACAGGTACAATACTCCACATACAGGTACAATACTCCACATACAGGTCACACATACACGCACATTACAATACAGGTACCACACACACATACATAATACCCACACACAGGTACAATACTCCACATACAGCTACAATACTCCACACACACGCATAATACTCCACAGGTACAATACTCTACATACAGCTACAAATACTCACACATACAGCTACAATACTCCACACAGCTACAATACTCCACATACAGCTACAATACTCCACACACAGCTACAATACTCCACACACAGCTACAATACTCCACATACAGCTACAATACTCCACATACAGCTACAATACTCCACATACAGGTACAATACTCCACATACAGGTACAATACTCCACACACAGCTACAATACTCCACACACAGCTACAATACTCACACACACACACTCCACACTCCACATAATACTACATACACATACAGGTACAATACTCTACACACAGGTACAATACTCCACATACAGCTACAAACACTCCACACACACGTATAATACTCCACACACAGGTACAATACTCCACATACAGCTACACACACTACACACACGTGCAATACTCCACATACTACACACACATACAATACTCCACATACAGCTACAATACTCCACAAGCTACACTCCACATACAGGTACAATACTCCACATACAGCTCCACACACAGCTGCTCCACACAGCTACAATACTCCACATACAGCTACAATACTCACATACAGCTACACACTCCACATACAGCTACAATACTCCACATACAGGTACAGGTAACACACTCCACATACAGCTACAATACTCCACACACACTCACATACAGGTACAACACTCCACATACAGGTACAATACTCCACATACAGGTACAACACTCTACATACAGGTACAATACTCTACACACAGGTACAATACTCCACACACAGGTACAATAATCCCACATACACACGCATACAATACTCCACACACAGGTACAATACTCCACATACAGGTACAATACTCCACATACAGCTACAATACTCCACATACAGCTACAATACTCCACATACAATTACAATACTCCACATACAGGTACAATACTCCACATACAGGTACAATAACATCTACACACTCACAGGTACAATACTCCACATACAGGTACAATACTCCACATACAGGTACAATACTCTACACTACAGGTACAATACTCCACATACAGGTACAATACTCCACACTACAGGTACAATACTCCACATACAGGTACAATACTCCACATACAGGTACAATACTCTACACTCACAGGTACAATACTCCACATACAGGTACAATACTCCACACACAGCTACAATACTCCACATACAGCTACAATACTCCACATACAGCTACAATACTCCACATACAGGTACAATACTCCACATACAGGTACAATACTCCACATACAGGTACAATACTCTACATACAGGTACAATACTCTACACTCACAGGTACAATACTCCACATACAGGTACAATACTCCACACACAGGTACAATATTCCACATACAGGTACAATACTCTACACACAGGTACAATACTCCACATACAGGTACAATACTCCACATACAGGTACAATACTCCACATACAGGTACAATACTCTACACACAGGTACAATACTCCACACACAGGTACAATACTCCACATACAGGTACAATACTCTACATACAGGTACAATACTCTACACCACAGGTACAATACTCCACATACAGGTACAATACTCCACACACAGGTACAATACTCCACATACAGGTACAATACTCTACACACAGGTACAATACTCCACATACAGGTACAATACTCTACATACAGGTACAATACTCTACATACAGGTACAATACTCTACATACATGTACAATACTCCACATACAGCTACAATACTCCACATACAGGTACAATACTCTACATACACGTACAATACTCCACATAGATGTACAATACTCCACATACAGCTCCAATACTCCACATACAGGTCAAACTTGCTCTGTCAAACTTACTAAACCTAAGCAAGTGAGAAAAGAAATTAGCTACCGGAAGACTTGAAATGTTGATATTGGAAGTTTTATAATGACACTGAATCTTCTGAGCTCCTACAGTCACTCTCTGATTCTTGTGGAGTTGATGATAAGACTGATGTGTTAACTACTTGCTTATCACGAATATTGGATAAGTGTGCTCCTCTGAAGTCTAGTTCTGTTGTCATTCGTCCTTGTTTTGTTGTCATCTATTCCTTGTTGAACAGTCTCTTGAAGCGGGATACAAATTGTACTCTAGCCAACAGATATGGAATATACGCCAAGAACTTGACATTAGACATACTCTGAAGAATAATTCTTTCAATGAGTAATTTTTCAGTGGCACATATTTGTCTGAACTCTCCGTGACCTATCCGGAAGAAATAAGACAGGTTATATCCAAAGCTAAAGCAGCTTCTAGCCTGGAAACCATACCGACCTGGCTGTTTAAGCAAGCTTGGTTTCTCTCATCAGTCAATTATCCAACTTTCAAACAGGCAATCGTCACTCCCCTCATTAAAAAGGCCAATGTAAATTCAGATGAGTTAAAAAACTACCAGCCAGTATCTAATCTGTCTTTCATTTTAAAATGTTTATAGAAATTTGTTTCACGAAGGCTTGAAGAACACCTACGCAATAACAACCTGCTTTCAGAGTGCTTACAAATCAAAACATAGCACAGAGACAGCACTTTTTCGCATCCATAACGTTGTTATGAGGGCAATGGACCAGCAGAATGTAACCCTGCTGGCCCTTCTTGATTTATCATCAGCCTTTGACACCCAAGACAACACGATACTGCTTTCTCGCTTGGAGGAAAGACTCGGTGTTACAGGAAAGGCTCTTTCTTGGATCAAATGCTATCTGTCCGCCAGAACTCAGGTTGTCAAGATTGGCGACCTTACCTCACTTCCAACAATAGTTATTGCTCTTCCGCAGGGTTCAGTTCTGGGGCCTTTGCTTTTCAGCATATATATCTTTCCAAAAGGTGATATAATCAGGAAACACGGTTTGATGTTTCATCTCTGTGCTGACAGCAATCAGATCTACATATCTATAAAGTCATCTGAAACCTCTACTGGAATCAGTCAAATTGAAGACTGGGTGAGGGAGGTTAGATCCTGGATGACTGTCAATTTTCTCAAAATAAATGACAGTAAAACAGAATTTCTACTACATGTTTCTAAACAGCAGCTTTTGAGTGAGTGAGTGTGTTAAGATTTAAAGTCACATCGGCAATATTTCAGCCATATCGTGACTAGTTCTAAATTCATAATACCTACATATAATATATTAAACCCTGTCCACGAAGGACAGTAAAATTACAAGGTTATCACAAAATGAGTTAAAACTAGCTAGCATATATCTTGAAAAGTAGAAAATTATATTTGGACAATACAATGTAAAAATGGGCTATTGATCGCCAACAACTGAAGCAGCTTTTGAAAGTGCCTGCAGGTCTGTCACTTAACACTGGCAACAGAAATGTCAGAACCACTCCATCTCTAAGAAATCTTGGAATCATATTTCAATCCAGCATGTCCCTTGAAAACAATGTCAAGAACTTGAGCAAAACTTGCTTCTTCTTCAATCACAACATCAGTAAAATGCAACATCTTCTTGACCATGAAACTTCTAATGTAGACTCTCATCACATCACCACGGAAATATTGTAACTCCCTTTTCTTCCATATTCCTTCATCTCTGATCACAAAGTTACAGCGAATCCAGAATGCAGCAGCAAGTGTTGTAACACACGCCGCAAACTGAGCATTTAAAATTTGGGCTGAAGGCCCTCTACTGGCTGCCCATGAATTTCATGATTCAGTACAAGATACTTCTTCAAGCCTGTATCTATGATGAATCATCATGTCACTATCTCACAAGTCTTGTCAGCATACACCAACCAACCCATACCCTCCGTTCTGTCAACCATCTTCCCCCGTCAGTCCCAATCAAGAAATCATCAATGGATGATCGAGCCTTCTCTTCCTCAGCTCCTCTACCAGCCTAATTGCCCAGACTCATCATCAGCTCAGGGCCCTTGCCCCCTCTACACACAGCCCAGACAGCCAATGGGACTTCTCCCATTCTGCCTTGTCGAATCCACCAAGAACTTTCCTGAGAATATGTAGACACCCCGACACTGCAGCCTTCTGCATTACCCAGAGTGTCAGAAGGGATGTGCTCCCGGTGCAGAACCCGGGCACTCTCCTGATCAGGGGGTACCACACCAAGGACACCAAGAACAATGGGGACCCTGGCGACTGTGTACTTGGGATGCAAGCGAAACATTTCAAAGGCGACGTCTGCATATTTAGCATGCTTTTCCTGATTCTTGCCAATCACATTTCTATCAAAAGGGACAGAAAATTCAATAACATAAATAAATTCATTGGCTTTATCAAAAAGGACAAGAAATACCATTTGAAATAAAGAATTGAACAGACCATTCATTGTTTTTCATTTCTTTTGCCATTTTATACCTACGGCATTTGTTTATAAGGACATGTGAAATAAGTTTTAAAATAATGCAATTATATTAGTCATTTTTTTATAGAACGTTTTCGGTTGAAAACACGTTTTTGGGGCATTTTTGGACCCTCGTCAATTCTTTTGAAAAATTAAAAGTATAATTTTGAAATGTTAGAACAATGCAATTATCTTAAGATCAATATGGACCAAAAACATGAATTTATCTTAACCAATAAAAAAGTTACAAAGCATTTTATGACATGTTCCCATATGGGAACATTGGCATGAACAAGGTTAATAACTGACGAGAAACCTGAAACCCAGATCAAGGGAACAGTTAAAACATAAACTTATTGTTATTCACAATTTCAAACTCCGAGTCGCATGCCGCATTTGCCACCATGTTTCTTTAAGAGGTAACAGGGGCAGATAACTCTAAATAAAAGTGAATGAATCTGGTACCTCCTGTATTTTGCGCTGCACATTTATCAACGGAAGTCAATTACTAAACTATCAATAGTCACACATACTCTTGATGCATCGATAGTTTTTCGTTTCTACCATTGATTAATTGTTATCAGAGACTCACTCAACAATTGCAAAGCCTTGATAGGTTTGTTTCTTCTCTTCGGATGTGTTGGAGGTCTTGAAAGGTTTGTTTCTTTTCTTCTAAGTGATGTGTTGGAGGTCTTGAAAGGTTTGTTACGGAAACACTAAGAGACATGTAAGATCTGTTTTTCCAATGTTGTAATGTTTTACATTGCAGGCAAGGCCTTCTCTGTTGAAGGTCGTATTTTCGCTATCAGTCCAAGCACACTGCTGCTTGGGGTCTCTGGAAGAGTTTCTTTTGCTGAATCAGATCCCGTTTGGCTAAACAGCATCTACGTGGCCCCTGAACTACAAGGCAGCAGCCCAATCTCCCAGTCTTCACTGGAAAAGGTAAAATACCTGTGATCTTCATGTTCATTTAATGTACTTACAACTGGGTATATATATATCTGAGGTATAAGTAGATAGCACTTGGTGTATATCAGAATAATATTGCTGGAAAATAGTTTGGGGCATAGATGTTTTAGGTAGGTAGTAAATAATACAGTGTGTGGATGTTTATATAAAATAATAATATATTTTTTTTGAAGTGTATTATAGTAAAATGTTATATACATCAGTACAGTGAATACATTATGCATACAAGTTCAGTTTTTAATAAGATATTTTTTGAATATTTGAAAGAAAATTATGACAAAGAATAGATGTATGTGATGGTTATTTTTTTCCATCTAAGTAACAAAACACAAATACTTTGGCAGAGAAATAAATAATCTGTCTGTCTATATCAGCAAATGCCAAAATTAGGTGGCATGCTGGCTTTTCGTCACTTTATTGACAGAGACATACTGAAGAGTGAAAAAGAGTGAAAAATAAAGAAAACTCTAATGATTCTTTCTCAGAGGTATTTAAATCGTCTGTGGGACTATATATCATTGAGTTTTCAAACACTTCACACACTTTACTGCCATGATAGAGGGAAGTGATATAAAAAACAAGTCTGTCCAGGATTTTAAAGGGCACATATTGACACTGAGTCAACTCAACTGAGATATGTATTTCAATTGTTTATTTTTTTTCAGCACGTTATTTTTCAACTTTATAAGTTGTATTTGCATTTTTGATGATTTGTTTCGGTAAGTCCATACCGAAAGGTATCAGAATCTGCAAAGTTGTGTTTTACGTTGCATGTGACCTTCAAGCTTTCATTGCTTTTTAAGTTTGATTTGATAATTTTCGGCGGGGGATTATGTCACCTTAGTGACAATGCTTGTGTCTTTAGTGTACAGGGCGGTGGGGGTAGCCTAGTGGTTAAAGCTTTCGCTCGTCGTGCAGAAGACCCAGGTTCGATTCCCCACATGGGCACAATGTGTGAAGCCCATTTCTGATGTCCCCCTCCGAGATGTTGCTGGAATATTGCTAAAAGTGGCATAAAACTAAACTTAACTCATTCTTAGAGGTGCTGCAGTTAATGGTATGAAGACAGATGTTGGCTGTAACCCAACCTTGTGTAAACCTGCTTATTGAAGAACTTTTGTGTTATATCTCCAGATGTATGTGTATGCTCTTGGACGATCTCTCCAGCAAGCCATTGAATATGGCCAAGACACGGTAGGTAACAGCCATTGTTAGTGAATGAAAATCATAGTATTAAGAAAGTATATTACAGCTTTTTAATGTTAGACAGTTATCACAGGACTTTTAGTGCAGCACTTGTTTCCCTACAGTTAGCTAGACCTGTCAGTCAGCTTTCAACTGAACAATCAATTGTTCAATCTCCTGGAGCCCTGTGGTTGATCTCACTTGTAGCATTGTACCAAACATGTAAGGTGGTGCTCGGTACGAGGGGTATCAAAAAGTTTTGAAACTAAAATACTTCTGATATGTGCATGATAAAAATAAATGTATGACATTGAATAATGGTTTATATCATTCACATAAACGTAATATTGACATGCACATGTCGCTAGTTTCCGGTCACGTGACATCTAATCACATGTACTCCTATTGAAACGACAGAAATGGATAAGCTTCAGTACATCGCAGCATAAAGTTTTTGGTCCTCGAGGGCCACCTGGCAAAATATATTGAATAGCGATGGGGTACTCGTACTACTGTCAATCGAGTACTGAGTCCTAAAGGGTACTTGTACTACTGTCAATTGAGTATTGAAGCCTATGGGGTACTCGTACTACTGTCAATTGAGTATTGTGTCCTATGGGGTACTCGTACTACTGTCAATTGAGCATTGAGTCCTATGGGGTACTCGTACTGCTGTCAATTGAGCATTGAGTCCTATGGGGTACTCGTACTGCTGTCAATTGAGTATTGAGTCCTATGGGGTACTCGTACTGCTGTCAATCAGGTATTGAGTCCTATGGGGTACTCGTACTACTGTCAATTGAGTATTGAGTCCTATGGGGTACTCGTGCTGCTGTCAATCGAGTACGCAGTCCCATGGGATACTCGTACTGCTGTCAATTGAGTACAGAGTCCCATGGAGTACTCGTACTGCTGTCAATCGAGTACAGAGTCCCATGGGGTACTCGTACTGCTGTCAATCGAGTACTAAGTCCCATGGGATACTCGTACTGCTGTCAATCGAATACGGAGTCCCATTGGGTACTCGTACTGCTGTCAATCGAGTACGGAGTCCCATGGAGTACTCGTACTGCTGTCAATCGAGTAGGGAGTCCCATGGGGTACTCGTACTGCTGTCAATCGAGTACTAAGTCCCATGGGATACTCGGACTGTTGTCAATCGAATACGGAGTCCCATGGGGTACTCGTACTGCTGTCAATCGAGTACTAAGTCCCATGGGATACTCGTACTGCTGTCAATCGAATACGGAGTCCCATTGGGTACTCGTACTGCTGTCAATCGAGTACGGAGTCCCATGGAGTACTCGTACTGCTGTCAATCGAGTAGGGAGTCCCATGGGGTACTCGTACTGCTGTCAATCGAGTACTAAGTCCCATGGGATACTCGGACTGTTGTCAATCGAATACGGAGTCCCATGGGGTACTCGTACTGCTGTCAATTTAGTATGGAGTCCCATGGGATACTCGCACTGCTGTCAATCGAGTACGGAGTCACATGGGATACTCGTACTGTTGTCAATTGAGTACGGAGTCCCATGGGATACTTGTACTGCTGTCAATCAAGTACTGAGTCCCATTGGGTACTCGTACTGTTGTCAATTGAGTATGGAGTCCCATGGGGAACTCGGACTGCTGTCAATCAAGTACTGAGTCCCATGGGTTACTGCTGTCAGTCGCTCTTCAGAGTCGCTCTTCAGAATGGCTCTTGAGGACCAAAAACTTTATGACTTACTTAAAACTTATTTACCACGTCTGTGATGCTTATTTCCATTGTGTGCTTACGCCATGCAACCCCAGGCAACACAATGCCCACCTTACCAATTACAAAAGCAACAGAAAAAATGCCGTTTACAATACTGTAGTGATTGGTCTTGTGCATATTGGTCTAAGTCACATATGATGTCACAAGCATAACAATGTCATGTGTGTTCACAGACTTGCTAGCAGAATATGCATAATAGCTGATGCTGAGATAGCAGAAACTGTTTTTGTGAATAAAATATAAATAATAATAATCTTGCATTAATAATTGGGGTACATGTTTCTGATGACTTTATTTTTGACCCAGTCGTATATTGCAGTTTTCCAGTATTCTCCTTTTAGGATGTTATGAATTGTGTAATATCTTCCTTCTAGGAGAGGAACGTCAGTAAGGATTTGAAGTCCTTACTTTCTGCCATGTGTGAAGAAGATGTTGTTCTTCGCATCTCCTTAGCTCATGTTCTTGAGGTGAGTCTTCACATATGTCCAGTTCATGTCCTTGAGCAAAGTCTTCACATGTCTCTTATTTCTGACCTTGAGGTAAGTCCTCACTTCGCTAGCTCCTGTCCTCATGGAAGGTGTTCCCATCTTGTGTATGTAACAGAGTGATACATTTCTTGTGTATGTAACAATGTGATGCTCTGCTTGTGTATGTAACAGTGTGAAGCTCTGCTTGTGTATGTAACAGTGTGAAGCTCTGCTTGTGTATGTAACAATGTGATGCTCTGCTTGTGTCTGTAATAATGTGATGCTCTGCTTGTGTCTGTAACAGTGTGATGCTCTGCTTGTGTATGTAACAATGTGATGGTCTGCTTGTGTCTGTAACAATGTGATACATTGCTTGTGTCTGTAACAATGTGATGCTCTGCTTGTGTCTGTAACAATGTGATGCTCTGCTTGTGTCTGTAACAATGTGATGCTCTGCTTGTAACTGTAACAATGTGATGCTCTGCTTGTGTATGTAACAATGTGATGCTCTGCTTGTGTCTGTAACAATGTGATGCTCTGCTTGTGTATGTAACAATGTGATGCTCTCCTTCTTGTATGTAACAATGTGATGCTCTCCTTCTTGTATGGGTACTGTATGTACTGATGTTTTCTGTACTATGGACACCTCGCCACATCCAGCTGCTGCAGTGTCAGGCGCCAGCTGTTCCCTGCAATCAGACCCAGATCCCTCTCGCTGGCCTACTTCCAGCCAGCATAAGGTCTCCTGTAGTTGTTGTCCTGGCAATCAATGTCCCGTTGTGTATACCATTGATTACATTGGTCATACTGAGCTGATAACGTGTGTGATTTTAGGAACTCTACAGTGTCTCAATGTTTCATTAATATTATTGTGATAGATAGCATGGACCTCTCTGTCTGGTTTTGGAGGTGATGCTGCTCATGAGTGTAACGTCAACACTCCATGACAAGAACTCCACAACAGGAATTTGTTATAGACGTACATTTAGCATCCTGTACATGTGAGGGTTGATATGGTCTCTTGTTGAAAGAGATGACTCTTTAAACGTTTAGATGCAATATATGGGAGCAGATGAGATCCTTAGAAATGAGACTTGGATGAGTAATAGTGATATAATAGGATTGGCTGTTTCAGAAGGGTATCATTAGACCAAAAAGACAAGACAAATGGGTTGAGTGTATTTTATCTAATCTTTCTCTTTGATATGAGTACCAAAACAGTGTGTCTGCACAGGTGGCCTGTTTTGTCTTTGACATTATATATAGAGAGATTATTACACGAAACAAGTGTGTCACACATCACTTGCTTGATAACGGTGTCAGTACCTACACCAAAACGTCGCAATGATTGCAATAAAGAAGTTGACTATCCATAGAACTTGGTTTTCCTTCTGTAGATGGTGTGAGTCTTCTGTAGATGTTGTGAGTCTTCTTTAGATGAGTCTTCTGTAGATGTTGTGAGTCTTCTTTAGATGAGTCTTCTGTAGATGGTGTGAGTCTTCTGTAGATGGTGTGAGTCTTCTGTAGATGGTGTGTGTCTTCTGTAGATGGTGTTAGTCTTCTGTAGATGGTGTGAGTCTTGTGTGAGTCTTCTGTGAGTCTTCTGTAGATGAGTCTTCTGTAGATGGTGTTAGTCTTCTGTAGATAGTGTGAGTCTTCTGTAGATGGTGTTAGTCTTCTGTAGATGGTGTGAGTCTTCTGTAGATGAGTCTTCTGTAGATGTTGTTAGTCTTCTGTAGATAGTGTGAGTCTTCTGTAGATGGTGTTAGTCTTCTGTAGATGGTGTGAGTCTTCTGTAGATGTTGAGTCTTCTGTAGATGTTGTGAGTCTTCTTTTAGATGAGATCTGTGGTGTTAGTCTTCTGTAGATAGTGTGAGTCTTCTGTAGATGGTGTGAGTCTTCTGTAGATAGATGTGTGAGTCTTCTGTAGATGTCTTCTGTGTGAGTCTTCTGTAGATGTGTGAGTCTTCTGTAGATGGTGTGGAGTCTCTGTCTGTAGATGGTGTGAGTCTTCTGTAGATGGTGTGAGTCTTCTGTAGATGGTGTGAGTCTTCTGTAGATGGTGTGAGTCTTCTGTAGTAGTCTTCTGTAGTGGTGAGTCTTCTGTAGATGGTGTGAGTCTTCTGTAGATGGTGTGAGTCTTCTGTAGATAGTGTGAGTCTTCTGTAGATGTTGTTAGTCTTCTGTAGATGTTGTGAGTCTTCTGTAGATGTTGTTAGTCTTCTGTAGATGTTGTGAGTCTTCTGTAGATGGTGTATTGAGTCTTCTGTAGATAGATGGTGTGAGTCTTCTGTAGTCTGAGGAGTCTTTGTGAGTCTTCTGTAGATGGTGTGAGTCTTCTGTAGATAGTGTGAGTCTTCTGTAGATAGTGTGAGTCTTCTTTAGATGAGTTTTCTGTAGATGGTGTGAGTCTTCTGTAGATGGTGTGAGTCTTCTGTAGATAGTATTAGTCTTCTGTAGATGGTGTGAGTCTTCTGTAGATGGTGTGAGTCTTCTGTAGATGGTGTGAGTCTTCTGTAGATAGTGTTAGTCTTCTGTAGATGTTGTGAGTCTTCTTTAGATGAGTCTTCTGTAGATGTTGTTAGTCTTCTGTAGATGTTGTGAGTCTTCTTTAGATGAGTCTTCTGTAGATGTTGTGAGTCTTCTGTAGATGTGAGTCTTCTGTAGATGGTGTGAGTCTTCTGTAGATGGTGTTAGTCTTCTGTAGATGGTGTTAGTTTTTTGTAGATGTTGTGAGTCTTCTGTAGATGTTGTTAGTCTTCTGTAGATGTGAGTCTTCTTTAGATGAGTCTTCTGTAGATAGTGCGAGTCTTCTGTAGATGGTGTTAGTCTTCTGTAGATGGTGTGAGTCTTCTGTAGATGAGTCTTCCTTAGATGGTGTGAGTCTTCTGTAGATGTGGTGAGTCTTCTGTAGATGGTGTGAGTCTTCTGTAGATGGTGTGAGTCTTCTGTAGATGGTGTGAGTCTTCTGTAGATGGTGTATGTCTTCTGTATATGGTGTGAGTCTTCTGTAGATGGTGTGAGTCTTCTGTAGATGGTGTGTGTCTTCTGTAGATGGTGTTAGTCTTCTGTAGATGGTGTTAGTCTTCTGTAGATGGTGTTAGTCTTCTGTAGATGTTGTGAGTCTTCTTTAGATGAGTCTTCTGTAGATGGTGTCAGTCTTCTGTAGATGTTGTGAGTCTTCTTTAGATGAGTCTTCTGTAGATGTTGTGAGTCTTCTGTAGATGTGAGTCTTCTGTAGATGGTGTGAGTCTTCTGTAGATGTTGTGAGTCTTCTGTAGATGGTGTGAGTCTTCTGTCGATGTTGTGAGTCTTCTGTAGATGTTGTGAGTCTTCTTTAGATGGTGTGAGTCTTCTGTAGATGTTGTGAGTCTTCTTTAGATGAGTCTTCTGTAGATAGTGCGAGTCTTCTGTAGATGGTGTTAGTCTTCTGTAGATGAGTCTTCTGTAGATGCTGTTAGTCTTCTGTAGATGAGTCTTCCTTAGATGGTGTGAGTCTTCTGTAGATGTGAGTCTTCTGTAGATGTGAGTCTTCTGTAGATGGTGTTAGTCTTCTGTAGATGGTGTTAGTTTTTTGTAGATGTTGTGAGTCTTCTGTAGATGAGTCTTCTGTAGATGTTGTTAGTCTTCTGTAGATGTGAGTCTTCTTTAGATGTGAGTCTTCTGTAGATGGTGTTAGTCTTCTGTAGATGAGTCTTCTGTAGATGGTGTTAGTCTTCTGTAGATGAGTCTTCTGTAGATGGTGTTAGTCTTCTGTAGATGAGTCTTCCTTAGATGGTGTGAGTCTTCTGTAGATGTTGTGAGTCTTCTGTAGATGGTGTGAGTCTTCTGTAGATGGTGTTAGTCTTCTGTATATGGTGTGAGTCTTCTGTAGATGGTGTTAGTCTTCTGTAGATGGTGTTAGTCTTCTGTAGATGTTGTGAGTCTTCTGTAGATGGTGTGAGTCTTCTGTAGATGTGAGTCTTCTGTAGATGGTGTGAGTCTTCTGTAGATGGTGTGAGTCTTCTGTAGATGGTGTGAGTCTTCTGTAGATGGTGTGAGTCTTCTGTAGATGGTGTGAGTCTTCTGTAGATGGTGTGAGTCTTCTGTAGATGTTGTGAGTTCTTTAGATGATGTAGTCTTCTGTAGATAGATAGTCTTCTGTGAGTCTTCTGTAGATGGTGTTAGTCTTCTGTAGATTGAGTCTTCTGTAGAGTGTGAGTCTTCTGTAGATGAGTCTTCTGTAGATGTAGATGGGGAGTGTTAGTCTTCTGTAGATGTTGTGAGTCTTCTGTAGATGGTGTGAGTCTTCTGTAGATGAGTAGTGAGTCTTCTGTAGATGTTGTGAGTCTTCTTTGATGATGTGAGTCTTCTGTAGATGGTGTTAGTCTTCTGTAGATGTTGTGAGTCTTCTGTAGATGGTGTGAGTCTTCTGTAGATGGTGTGAGTCTTCTGTAGATGTTGTGAGTCTTCTTTAGATGTTGTGAGTCTCCTGTAGATGGTGTTAGTCTTCTGTAGATAGTGTGAGTCTTCTGTAGATGTGAGTCTTCTGTAGATGGTGTGAGTCTTCTGTAAATGGTGTTAGTCTTCTGTAGATGGTGTTAGTTTTTTGTAGATGTTGTGAGTCTTCTGTAGATGAGTCTTCTGTAGATGGTGTTAGTCTTCTGTAGATGTGAGTCTTCTTTAGATGAGTCTTCTGTAGATGTTGTGAGTCTTCTGTAGATGTTGTTAGTCTTCTGTAGATGGTGTTAGTCTTCTGTAGATGAGTCTTCTGTAGATGTTGTGAGTCTTCTGTAAATGAGTCTTCCTTAGATGGTGTGAGTCTTCTGTAGATGGTGTATGTCTTATGTATGTGGTGTGAGTCTTCTGTAAATGGTGTTAGTCTTCTGTATATGGTGTATGTCTTATATATATGGTGTGAGTCTTCTGTGGATGGTGTTAGTCTTCTGTAGATGGTGTATGTCTTATGTATATGGTGTGAGTCTTCTGTGGATAGTAGACCACCTCTGTGGTGTAGTGGTCAGAGCATTCCCCCGGAGAGCGGAAGGTCGCAGGTTTGATCACCGACTACGTCTTACCATAAGATGTTAACATATGGTACCTGTTTGATCCCTGCCTGGCGTTCGACATTAATGGGTACAAGAAGGACTGGTCGGATGGAGTTAGTATACTGTGTCTGAGTGGGTATTCATGCTTCACTCCGACATGGTATCTCAGTGGGCTAGCATTATAAAACCAGCTTAAGTTAACTAGTACAAGCAGCCGCACCTAGACCTACACATGCATGCATGTCGTCATATCAGCAAAATATTCTGAAGTTGGATGTTAAACCCTATTTCACCTCGCCACTGTGGATAGTACACGTCTTGTGTAGATGGTACGTGTCTTCTGTAGAAGGTATACGTTTTCTGTAGATGGTACATGTCTTTTGTAGAAAGTATACTTCTTCTGTAGATGGTACATGTCTTCTGTAGATGGTACATGTCTTCTGTAGAAGGTATACTTCTTCTGTAGATGGTACGTGTCTTCTGTAGATGGTACATGTCTTCTGTAGAAGGTATACTTCTTCTGTAGATGGTACATGTCTTCTGTAGATGGTACATGTCTTCTGTAGAAGGTATATCGTCTTCTGTCTTCTGTAGATGGTACATGTCTTCTGTAGATGGTACATGTCTTCTGTAGAAGGTATACTGTCTTCTGTAGATGGTACATGTCTTCTGTAGATGGTACATGTCTTCTGTAGAAGGTATACGTCTTCTGTAGATGGTACATGTCTTCTGTAGATGGTACATGTCTTCTGTAGAAGGTATACTTCTTCTGTAGATGGTACATGTCTTCTGTAGATGGTACATGTCTTCTGTAGATGGTACATGTCTTCTGTAGATGGTACATGTCTTCTGTAGATGGTATATGTCTTCTGTAGATGGTACGTGTCTTCTGTAGATGGTACATGTCTTCTGTAGATGGTACATGTCTTCTGTAGATGGTACATGTCTTCTGTAGAAGGTATACTTCTTCTGTAGATGGTATGCTGTCTTCTGTAGATGGTACATGTCTTCTGTAGATGGTACATGTCTTCTGTAGATGGTATATGTCTTCTGTAGATGGTACATGTCTTCTGTAGATGGTACATGTCTTCTGTAGAAGGTATACTTCTTCTGTAGATGGTACATGTCTTCTGTAGATGGTACATGTCTTCTGTAGATGGTACGTGTCTTCTGTAGATGGTACATGTCTTCTGTAGATGGTACATGTCTTCTGTAGATGGTACATGTCTTCTGTAGATGGTACATGTCTTCTGTAGAAGATGGTACATGTCTTCTGTAGATGGTACTTCTGTAGATCATGTTCTGTAGATGGTACATGTCTTCTGTAGATGGTATATGTCTTCTGTAGAAGGTATCGTCTTCTGTAGATGGTACATGTCTTCTGTAGATGGTACGATGTCTTCTGTAGAAGGTCTTCTGTAGATGGTATCTCTTCTGTAGATGGTACATGTCTTCTGTAGATGGTACATGTCTTCTGTAGATGGTACATGTCTTCTGTGTCTTCTGTAGATGGTAGGTATCGTCTTCTGTAGATGGTACATGTCTTCTGTAGATGGTACATGTCTTCTGTAGAAGGTATACTTCTTCTGTAGATGGTGCGTGGTACATGTCTTCTGTAGATGGTACATACGTCTTCTGTAGATGGTCTTCTGTAGATGGTATATGTCTTCTAGATGGTAGATGTTTTCTGTAGATGGCATACGTCTTCTGTAGATGGTACATGTCTTCTGTAGATGGTCTTCTACAGGTATGTCTTCTGTAGATGGTGTCTCATGTCTTCTGTAGAAGGTATACTGTCTTCTTATACTTCTTCTGTAGATGGTACATGTCTTCTGTAGATGGTATATGTCTTCTGTAGAAGGTCTTCTGTAGATGGTACATGTCTTCTGTAGATGGTACATGTCTTCTGTAGAAGGTACACTTCTTCTGTAGATGTACATGCTTCTGTAGGTATAATGTCTTCTGTAGATGTCTTCTGTAGATGGTAATGTCTTCTGTAGATGGTACATGTCTTCTGTAGATGGTACATGCTGCATGTCTTCTGTAGAAGGTATACGCCTTCTGTAGATGGTACATGTCTTCTGTAGATGGTGCGTGTCTGTCTGTAGATGGTACATGTCTTCTGTAGAAGGTATACGGTCTTCTGTAGATGGTACATGTCTTCTGTAGATGGTACATGTCTTCTGTAGAAGGTATACTTCTCTGTAGAAGGTATGGTACGGTCTTCTGTAGATGGTATGAAGGTGTCTTCTGTAGATGGTAGTCTTCTGTAGATGGTACATGTCTTCTGTAGATGGTACATGTCTTCTGTAGATGGTATGTCATGTCTTCTTGTAGATGGTACATGTCTTCTGTGGATGGTCTTCTGTGTCTGTCTTCTGTAGATGGTACATGTCTTCTGTAGAAGGTAAGGTATACTTCTTCTGTAGATGGTACATGTCTTCTGTAGAAGGTATACGTCTTCTGTAGATGGTACATGTCTTCTGTAGAAGGTATACTTCTTCTGTAGATGGTACATGTCTTCTGTAGATGGTACATGTCTTTTGTAGAAGGTATACTTCTTCTGTAGATGGTACATGTCTTCTGTAGAAGGTATACTTCTTCTGTAGATGGTACATGTCTTCTGTAGATGGTACATGTCTTCTGTAGATGGTACATGTCTTCTGTAGAAGGTATACGTCTTCTGTAGATGGTACGTGTCTTCTGTAGATGGTATGTGTCTTCTGTAGATGGTATATGTCTTCTGTAGATGGTACATGTCTTCTGTAGATGGTACATGTCTTCTGTAGAAGGTATACTTCTTCTGTAGATGGTACGTGTCTTCTGTAGAAGGTATACGTCTTCTGTAGATGGTACATGTCTTCTGTAGAAGGTATACTTCTTCTGTAGATGGTACGTGTCTTCTGTAGATGGTACATATCTTCTGTAGATGGTACATGTCTTCTGTAGATGGTATATGTCTTCTATAAATGGTACGTGTCTTCACTTCTTACTAAGGATTTCTATTTGATACAGATATTGTAAGATCAACGTTTGTTTCAGACATGTGCTCTAAACTGGCAAGAGCAAGGCAACAAGCTGCCGTACTCCCACTATGTAACCAGACTGCACCACTCTGTTCTGGGACCAAGTCCGGACAAGGTATTGACACTTTAACTATCCCACACATCACATGGACATGTAGCAGTGCTGACCTCCCCACCCACACACCCCTACACATCACATGGACATGTAGCAGTGCTGACCTCCCCACCAACACACCCCTACACATCACATGGACATGTAGCAGTGCTGACCACCCCACCCACACCCCTACACACACATGGACATGTAGCAGTGCTGATCCCACCATGGACACATCACATGGCAGTGCTGACCTCCCCACCCACACACCCCTACACATCACATGGACATGTAGCAGTGCTGACCTCCCCACCCACACACCCCTACACATCACATGGACATGTAGCAGTGCTGACCTCCCCACCCACACCCCTACACATCACATGGACATGTAGCAGTGCTGACCTCCCCACCCCACACCCCTACACATCACATGGCATGTAGCAGTGCTGACCTCCCCACCCACACCCTCTACACATCACATGGCATGTAGCAGTGCTGACCTCCCCACCCACACCCCCTACACATCACATGGACATGTAGCAGTGCTGACCACCCCACCCACACCCTCCTACACATCACATGCACATGTAGGAAGAAGATTGCCACATGACGTCGCAGTTTAGGCATTTTTACACCTCTCATTTTACCCAACCAGCCAGTCCTTGGATTATCGCCTTATTGCTTATTGTCCCCATGCAAGCTGACCAATTTTTCGTAAGCTAATTGTGGGCAATCCTTAGTGTCATTGATTGCTGCATCCAATAGATGTTCTTCTGTTTTGTTAATCAGATGGAAGTCAGCAATGACAGCAGTTATGGTAGTGATCAAAGCCGCCAGAGCACTCTGTCACACCAGTCACGAGGACACAGATTATCAGCCAGACCACGACGTCGCTACCAACATGACCTTAGTAATAAAAGCAGGTCAAGGTCAAGGTCACGTAGTAGGAGTAGAGGTTTGTGTGCCCAGAGCTCTTGCAGCATTATGCAATATATTCTCTTCCAAAAAGTAGGAGACACAGAAACAAAACTGAACATTTCTAAGATTGTGAGTCTAATTCTTCTTGTGATAGTTGTAGGATAATAATGAACAAATGTGAATGTCCTCTTGTGAGGTATTACAGTAAATGGTTGGACTGCTAACAATCTTGAACAACAATAGGGGTAAGATTAATAATTCATGAGTTGACGATTTTGGATTACTAAGAATGCCAACACATTTTCTCAAACATTCATTCACTCAATGAGACAAGTGCCATATCACTTTTCCACTGTCAATTTGAGAGTGGCTGTCCCTAGCAGACCCTGGCCAAGTTTTTCTAACACAATACCGTATAGATAAGCCGAATTTTGAGGGCCTACAAAAGCAGTCTGTAGAAAGGGGTTGGCCTATCTATCAGTTACACTTTTTGTCAAACTTTTTCCAGGGGGTAAGGAAACGACATATAGCTTCGCATGAGCAAACAAACAAGAGAAGACGACTTTGTCAGTAAAGACGTCAAATTGCAATTAAACATCACTAGACAAATTTATGCTGGGCATTGTATTATTTGCAGGGATTAAGATTACAGTGTGTATTTTTGTCTTCGTATATAAAGCCGGAAATAGATATCAGCTGTGCACATGTTTCCCAGTGATCTACCTGTGATTTAGTTAAACCATACACAATAATATAACGGGATGAATTCTGACTCAGGGATCAGTAATATATAATGCACAAAACTATTATTTAACCCAAAGAAATGTATCCTAGCTTTGTGTAATATTAATTACAGGTTTTGCTCTATAAATGTAAAATATGTATAAGCAACACTAAGCTGATACGGACCCTCATGAACATGGTAAGCGGAAGTTGTACACGCATGGAATGAGGTGAAAAAAGCATACCATTTATATTCACACGTTTTCTCCGATGTTACTGTAAACTAGCGGTCCATGGATAACGAGGCGGTAATCAGTTCGTGATTGTTGATAATATGATGTGAAATTGGTGTTATCGCGGTTGGAGAAAAACGTACCCTCATGAACATTGTCAGGTGAAGTTATGCGAACATGGAATGGGGTAAAATAAGCAAGCCAGTTTGTTGACATGTGATCGTCTAGCTACAATAAGTATGATATTTAGTGAAACAAAATATAATATCCATTTTCTGTCAGCTATACTTCATTTCGAGGTGTGAGTAGACACAATATGATTGTGAATTCTTTTGAATAATGCGGACTGAAGTTATAATTATCATTATCTGCCAGTTGTGTGTGGTCTGAGTTTGCTGCATTTGGACCCCATTTCGAGGGGTCAGCTTATGTATGAAACATACCATTTTGACACTGATTTTAAGGGTCAAGTTAGGGGGGTTGGCTTATCTAATATACAGTACATAATAATTTGTAGCATTGTGATGGGGGGGAATACAGGGTTTTATGCGTCCCATGTTAGGGTTTGTCCACAGAGCCTCAGCCTCGGTGGTTAAAACCTAATGAGGGACGCATTAAACTCTGTATACCCCGAATCATAATACTATGACGAATTTATCTTACGGAATGTTTAAATCTCTCATTATGTAAATGTAACATTAAACAAACTGAAATTCAATCATATATTTTACTAACATGGTACTGACTTGTCAATCCAAACCACTGGTTCACGGTTCACTTGACTGCTGTGGATGTATGCTTTTTCCATTGGGCGGGGTATAAATGATATATTCTCCCTTGCAAAGAGTTATACCCTGCTTGGGCGGTGTATGTCCGTGCACCGAGCATTCATGGTAATTTGTTCAAGGTCACATGAATCAATCCGAGATGGACATTCTTACATGATGTAGGATTAATGATATTGACACTCACATCAGGTGTGTTCAGTGGAGGGACAGGTTTAAGGCTTATTGCTGGTCATGATGTTTGTGTTCTTTATTGATCAGCCCAACACAAGGCTGTCCAGCATGGAGATGAACTGAATGTCAGGATAAGTTTAAAAATTCTAGAATTATCTTACTTGTTGTACTCTCTCTCCCATGATTCCACAGCTGAGTGGAAACAAACTCGAAACAAAGTTTTCAGCCTCTGTTGTACCATTCGCCCAATACCCTGCCTCTGTGAAGCATTCAGCATGCCCTCTAGTTGATCATGTGACTCCTTTGATCATTCTCTTTCTCCCTGGGACTGATCAGACAGAGGAGTAACATGATCAATCGGAGGGCATGCTGCTTGCTTCACAGAGGCTGAGGCTGTCCAGGAAAGGGATCAGTGGAATGTGTTGCGCGTATGGACCAAGAGAGGCCAAAAACTTTGTTTGCAGTTCGTTTCCACTCAGCTGTCAAATCATGAGAGAGTACGAAACCTGAGATATGATTATATATATACAATTAATAATTTTCTATTTTTTTTCTGTCATGCTCGAGTTGCCTGGAGAAAGTTTGCAGCGTTTTGATTTGTCGATAAAGCTTGATAACAAAGAGCCATTGTGAACACTAACAGAAAATGTTTCCTGGGTCCATGCGTTGTGAACACTGACGGGAAATGTTTCCTGGGTCCATGCGTTGTAAACACTGACAGGAAATGTTTCCTGGGTCCATGCGTTGTAAACACTGACAGGAAATGTTTCCTGGGTCCATGCGTTGTAAACACTGACAGGAAATGTTTCCTGGGTCCATGCGTTGTAAACACTGACAGGAAATGTTTCCTGGGTCCATGCGTTGTTGAAAACACTGACGGGAAATGTTTCCTGGGTCCATGCGTTGTAAACACTGACAGGAAATGTTTCCTGGGTCCATGCGTTGTAAACACTGACAGGAAATGTTTCCTGGGTCCATGCAGTTGTAAACACTGACGTTGGAAATGACAGGAAATGGGTCCATGCATTGTAAACACTGACAGGAAATGTTTCCTGGGTCCATGCGTTGTAAACACTGACAGGAAATGTTTCCTGGGTCCATGTGTTGTAAACACTGACAGGAAATGTTTCCTGGGTCCATGCGTTGTGAACACTGACAGGAAATGTTTCCTGGGTCCATGCATTGTAAACACTGACAGGAAATGTTTCCTGGGTCCATGCGTTGTAAACACTGACAGGAAATGTTTCCTGGGTCCATGCGTTGTAAAAACACTGACAGGAAATGTTTCCTGGGTCCATGTGTTGTAAACACTGACAGGAAATGTTTCCTGGGTCCATGCGTTGTAAACACTGACAGGAAATGTTTCCTGGGTCCATGCGTTGTAAACACTGACAGGAAATGTTTCCTGGGTCCATGCGTTGTAAACACTGACAGGAAATGTTTCCTGGGTCCATGCGTTGTAAACACTGACAGGAAATGTTTGACATGCGCTTGTAAACACTGGAAATGTTTCCTGGGTCCATGTGTTGTAAACACTGACAGGAAATGTTTCCTGGGTCCATGCGTTGTAAACACTGACAGGAAATGTTTCCTGGGTCCATGTGTTGTAAACACTGACAGGAAATGTTTCCTGGGTCCATGCGTTGTAAACACTGACAGGAAATGTTTCCTGGGTCCATGCGTTGTAAACACTGACAGGAAATGTTTCCTGGGTCCATGAAATGTTTCCTCGGTAAACACTGACAGGAAATGTTTCCTGGGTCCATTCCCTTGTAAACACTGCAGGAAATGTTTCTGGGTCCATGCGTTGTAAACACTGACAGGAAATGTTTCCTGGGTCCATGCGTTGTAAACACTGACAGGAAATGTTTCCTGGGTCCATGCGTTGTAAACACTGACAGGAAATGTTTCCTGGGTCCATGCGTTGTAAACTGACAGGTCCATGCGTTGTAAACACTGACAGGAAATGTTTCCTGGGTCCATGCGTTGTAAACACTGACAGGAAATGTTTCCTGGGTCCATGCGTTGTAAACACTGACAGGAAATGTTTCCTGGGTCCATGCGTTGTAAACACTGACAGGAAATGTTTCCTGGGTCCATGCGTTGTAAACACTGACAGGAAATGTTTCCTGGGTCCATGTGTTGTAAACACTGACAGGAAATGTTTCCTGGGTCCATGCATGTTGTAAACACTGACAGGAAATGTTTCCTGGGTCCATGCGTTGTAAACACTGACAGGAAATGTTTCCTGGGTCCATGCGTTGTAAACACTGACAGGAAATGTTTCCTGGGTCCATGCGTTGTAAACACTGACAGGAAATGTTTCCTGGGTCCATGCGTTGTAAACACTGACAGGAAATGTTTCCTGGGTCCATGCGTTGTAAACACTGACAGGAAATGTTTCCTGGGTCCATGCGTTGTAAACACTGACAGGAAATGTTTCCTGGGTCCATGCGTTGTAAACACTGACAGGAAATGTTTCCTGGGTCCATGCGTTGTAAACACTGACAGGAAATGTTTCCTGGGTCCATGTGTTGTAAACACTGACAGGAAATGTTTCCTGGGTCCATGCGTTGTAAACACTGACAGGAAATGTTTCCATGGGTCCATGCGTTGTAAACACTGACAGGAAATGTTTCCTGGGTCCATGCGTTGTAAACACTGACAGGAAATGTTTCCTGGGTCCATGTTGTTGTAAACACTGACAGGAAATGTTTCTGGGTCCATGCGTTGTAAACACTGACAGGAAATGTTTCCTGGGTCCATGCGTTGTAAACACTGACAGGAAATGTTTCCTGGGTCCATGCTGGGTTGTGTTGTAAACACTGACAGGAAATGTTTCCTGGGTCCATGCGTTGTAAACACTGACAGGAAATGTTTCCTGGGTCCATGCGTTGTAAACACTGACAGGAAATGTTTCCTGGGTCCATGTGTTAAACTGGGTCCATGCGTTGTAAACACTGACAGGAAATGTTTCCTGGGTCCACTGACTGACAGGAAATGTTTCCTGGGTCCATGTGTTGTGTTGTAAACACTGACAGGAAATGTTTCCTGGGTCCATGTTGTAAACTTGTAAACACTGACAGGAAATGTTTCCTGGGTCCATGCATTGTAAACACTGACAGGAAATGTTTCCTGGGTCCATGCGTTGTAAACACTGACAGGAAATGTTTCCTGGGTCCATGCGTTGTAAACACTGACAGGAAATGTTTCCTGGGTCCATGCGTTGTAAACACTGACAGGAAATGTTTCCTGGGTCCATGCGTTGTAAACACTGACAGGAAATGTTTCCTGGGTCCATGCGTTGTAAACACTGACAGGAAATGTTTCCTGGGTCCATGCGCGTTGTAAACACTGACAGGAAATGTTTCCTGGGTCCATGTTGTAAACACTGACAGGAAATGTTTCCTGGGTCCATGCGTTGTAAACACTGACAGGAAATGTTTCCTGGGTCCACTTGTAAAAACACTGACAGGAAATGTTTCCTGGGTCCATGCATGTTGTAAACACTGACAGGAAATGTTTCCTGGGTCCATGCGTTGTAAACACTGACAGGAAATGTTTCCTGGGTCCATGCGTTGTAAACACTGACAGGAAATGTTTCCTGGGTCCATGCATTGTAAACACTGACAGGAAATGTTTCCTGGGTCCTGGGTCCATGCGTTGTAAACACTGACGGAAATGTTTCCTGGGTCCATGCGTTGTAAACACTGACAGGAAATGTTTCCTGGGTCCATGTGTTGTAAACACTGACAGGAAATGTTTCCTGGGTCCATGCGTTGTAAACACTGACAGGAAATGTTTCCTGGGTCCATGCCTTGTGTAAACACTTGTAAACGTTGTGTAAACACTGACAGGAAATGTTTCCTGGGTCCATGTGTTGTAAACACTGACAGGAAATGTTTCCTGGGTCCATGCGTTGTGAAAACTTGACGGAAATGTTTCCTGGGTCCATGTGTTGTAAACACTGACAGGAAATGTTTCCTGGGTCCATGCGTTGTAAACACTGACAGGAAATGTTTCCTGGGTCCATGCATTGTAAACACTGACAGGAAATGTTTCCTGGGTCCATGCGTTGTAAACACTGACAGGAAATGTTTCCTGGGTCCATGTTGTAAACACTGACAGGAAATGTTTCCTGGGTCCATGCGTTGTAAACACTGACAGGAAATGTTTCCTGGGTCCATGCGTTGTGAAAACACTGACAGGAAATGTTTCCTGGGTCCATGCGTTGTAAACACTGACAGGAAATGTTTCCTGGGTCCATGTGTTGTAAACACTGACAGGAAATGTTTCCTGGGTCCATGTGTTGTAAACACTGACAGGAAATGTTTCCTGGGTCCATGCGTTGTAAACACTGACAGGAAATGTTTCCTGGGTCCATGCGTTGTAAACACTGACAGGAAATGTTTCCTGGGTCCATGCGTTGTAAACACTGACAGGAAATGTTTCCTGGGTCCATGCGTTGTAAACACTTGACGGAAATGTTTCCTGGGTCCCATGTTGTAAACACTGACAGGAAATGTTTCCTGGGTCCATGCGTTGTAAACACTGACAGGAAATGTTTCCTGGGTCCATGTCCATGTTGTAAACACTGACAGGAAATGTTTCCTGGGTCCATGTGTTGTAAACACTGACAGGAAATGTTTCCTGGGTCCATGCGTTGTAAACACTGACAGGAAATGTTTCCTGGGTCCATGTTTGTAAACACTGACAGGAAATGTTTCCTGGGTCCATGTTTCCTGGGTCCATGTGTTGTAAACACTGACAGGAAATGTTTCCTGGGTCCATGTGTTGTAAACACTGACAGGAAATGTTTCCTGGGTCCATGCGTTGTAAACACTGACAGGAAATGTTTCCTGGGTCCATGTGTTGTAAACACTGACAGGAAATGTTTCCTGGGTCCATGCGTTGTAAACACTGACAGGAAATGTTTCCTTGGTCCATGTGTTGTAAACACTGACAGGAAATGTTTCCTGGGTCCATGTGTTGTAAACACTGACAGGAAATGTTTCCTGGGTCCATGCGCTTGTCCAAAACACTGACAGGAAATGTTTCCTGGGTCCATGTTTAAACACTGACAGGAAATGTTTCCTGGGTCCATGCGTTGTAAACACTGACAGGAAATGTTTCCTGGGTCCATGCGTTGTAAACACTGACAGGAAATGTTTCCTGGGTCCATGCGTTGTAAACACTGACAGGAAATGTTTCCTGGGTCCATGCGTTGTAAACACTGACAGGAAATGTTTCCTGGGTCCATGCGCTTGTATGAAAACACTGACAGGAAATGTTTCCTGGGTCCATGTGTTGTAAACACTGACAGGAAATGTTTCCTGGGTCCATGCGTTGTAAACACTTGACGGAAATGTTTCCTGGGTCCATGCGTTGTAAACACTGACAGGAAATGTTTCCTGGGTCCATGCGTTGTAAACACTGACAGGAAATGTTTCCTGGGTCCATGCGTTGTAAACACTGACAGGAAATGTTTCCTGGGTCCATGCAGGAAATGTTGTAAACACTGACGAGGAAATGTTTCCTGGGTCCATGCATTGTAAACACTGACAGGAAATGTTTCCTGGGTCTGGGTCCATTTTGTTGTAAACACTGACAGGAAATGTTTCCTGGGTCCATGCGTTGTAAACACTGACAGGAAATGTTTCCTGGGTCCATGCGTTGTAAACACTGACAGGAAATGTTTCCTGGGTCCATGCGTTGTAAACACTGACAGGAAATGTTTCCTGGGTCCATGTGTTGTAAACACTGACAGGAAATGTTTCCTGGGTCCATGCGTTGTAAACACTGACAGGAAAGGAAATGTTTCCTGGGTCCATGCGTTGTAAACACTGACAGGAAATGTTTCCTGGGTCCATGTGTTGTAAACACTGACAGGAAATGTTTCCTGGGTCCATGCGTTGTAAACACTGACGGGAAATGTTTCCTGGGTCCATGTGTTGTAAACACTGACAGGAAATGTTTCCTGGGTCCATGCTTGTTGTAAACACTGACAGGAAATGTTTCCTGGGTCCATGCATTGTTGTAAACACTGACAGGAAATGTTTCCTGGGTCCATGCGTTGTAAACACTGACAGGAAATGTTTCCTGGGTCCATGCGTTGTAAACACTGACAGGAAATGTTTCCTGGGTCCATGCGTTGTAAACACTGACAGGAAATGTTTCCTGGGTCCATGCATTGTAAACACTGACAGGAAATGTTTCCTGGGTCCATGTGTTGTAAACACTGACAGGAAATGTTTCCTGGGTCCATGCGTTGTAAACACTGACAGGAAATGTTTCCTGGGTCCATGCGTTGTAAACACTGACAGGAAAAATGTTTCCTGGGTCCATGCGTTGTAAACACTGACAGGAAATGTTTCCTGGGTCCATGCTTGTAAACACTGACAGGGAAATGTTGTTGCTTGTAAACACTGACAGGAAATGTTTCCTGGGTCCATGACAGGAAATGTTTCCTGGGTCCATGAACACTTGACGGAAAATGTTTGCTGGGTCCATGCATTGTAAACACTGACAGGAAATGTTTCCTGGGTCCATGCGTTGTAAACACTGACAGGAAATGTTTCCTGGGTCCATGTGTTGTAAACACTGACAGGAAATGTTTCCTGGGTCCATGCGTTGTAAACACTGACAGGAAATGTTTCCTGGGTCCATGCGTTGTGAACACTGACAGGAAATGTTTCCTGGGTCCATCCATTGTAAACACTGACAGGAAATGTTTTCTGTAGTTGAGACATAATAACATTGGCTGCTGCTCTAACCAGTATTGTGACATTTTGATTGAATTGTTTTATGGGTGGAGTCAAACCAAAGATTACAGGAAATATCAGCCATTTTTGTGGCAATACCTCTTGAAAATGATGAGAACATACCTCCAGCTGTTTCCTGTGCAGATACCACTGAACAAACTCTACAGCAGGACCCACAAAGTACATCACCAATAGGACAGTACCAGCTACCACCTCCTTACCACACTGTGCGGAGCCAGGGATTCCTTTCTCCTGGAATGAAACACTCTGCTTACCAGAAATACATGCGTTTGAAAGATCGTCAGCGGAAACTACGTGCTCTACGTCAGGGCAAGTATGGAGTGGATGTCAGTCAGGAATGGTCACAGGGCGATGGTGCAGAAAGCATGTCAGACACTCATTCAACTGTGTCTCTCATTTCCTGCACATTAGGTGAGATTCAACATTATACTTTTAGTATTATACTTAGAACTTAATCTTTTTTTATTTGATACAATATGTATGATGATGGCACAATGATGTCTGTACTTACAGGGAGCTACATGCCTGGCATCCACGCACAGTACGGGTCAGAGGCCGCCCTGCTAATGGTAGATCGTGAGAAAGACAGCATCTTCAGCACCGACCTCTCCTTCCTTATTCCCGACTATAAAACACGAAGGTAACAACCACATACTCAGGTAACAGCCACATACACAGGTACCAGCCACATACTCAGGTACCAGCCACATGGTAAGGTACCAGCCACATGGTAAGGTACCTGCCACATACTCAGGTACCAGCCACATGGTAAGGTACCAGCCACATGGTCAGGTACCAGCCACATACTAAGGTACCAGCCACATACTCAGGTACCAGCCACATACTAAGGTACCTGCCTAAGGAACCAGCCACATACTCAGGTACCAGCCACATACTCAGGTACCAGCCACATACTCAGGTACCAGCCACATACTCAGGTACCAGCCACATACTCAGGTACCAGCCACATACTCAGGAACCAGCCACATACTCAGGTACCAGCCACATACTCAGGTACCAGCCACATACTCAGGTACCAGCCACATACTAAGGAACCAGCCACATACTCAGGTACCAGCAACATACTCAGGTACCAGCCACATACTAAGGAACCAGCCACATACTCAGGTACCAGCCACATACTCAGGTACCAGCCACATACTCAGGTACCAGCCACATACTCAGGAACCAGCCACATACTCAGGAACCAGCCACATACTAAGGAACCAGCCACATACTAAGGAACCAGCCACATACTAAGGAACCAGCCACATACTAAGGAACCAGCCACATACTCAGGTACCAGCCACATACTCAGGTACCAGCCACATACTCAGGTACCAGCCACATACTAAGGAACCAGCCACATACTAAGGAACCAGCCACATACTAAGGAACCAGCCACATACTCAGGTACCAGCCACATACTCAGGTAACCAGCCACATACTAAGGAACCAGCCACATACTAAGGAACCAGCCACATACTAAGGAACCAGCCACATACTCAGGTACCAGCCACATACTAAGGAACCAGCCACATACTCAGGTACCAGCCACATACTCAGGTACCAGCCACATACTCAGGAACCAGCCACATACTCAGGTACCAGCCACATACTAAGGAACCAGCCACATACTCAGGTACCAGCCACATACTCAGGTAACAGCCACATACTCAGGTACCAGCCACATACTAAGGAACCAGCCACATACTCAGGTACCAGCCACAAACTCAGGTACCAGCCACATACTAAGGAACCAGCCACATACTCAGGTACCAGCCACAAACTAAGGTACCAGCCACATACTAAGGAACCAGCCACATACTAAGGAACCAGCCACATACTCAGGTACCAGCCACAAACTAAGGAACCAGCCACATACTCAGGTACCAGCCACATACTCAGGTACCAGCCACATACTAAGGAACCAGCCACATACTCAGGTACCAGCCACATACTAAGGAACCAGCCACATACTAAGGAACCAGCCACATACTCAGGTACCAGCCACATACTCAGGAACCAGCCACATACTAAGGAACCAGCCACATACTAAGGAACCAGCCACATACTCAGGCACCAGCCACATACTAAGGAACCAGCCACATTCTCAGGTACCAGCCACATACTCAGGTACCAGCCACATACTAAGGAACCAGCCACATACTCAGGTACCAGCCACATACTCAGGTACCAGCCACATACTCAGGTACCAGCCACATACTCAGGTACCAGCCACATACTCAGGAACCAGCCACATACTCAGGTACCAGCCACATACTAAGGAACCAGCCACATACTCAGGTACCAGCCACATACTCAGGTAACAGCCACATACTCAGGTACCAGCCACATACTCAGGTAACAGCCACATACTCAGGTACCAGCCACATACTCAGGTACCAGCCACATACTCAGGTACCAGCCACATACTCAGGTACCAGCCACATACTAAGGAACCAGCCACATACTCAGGTACCAGCCACAAACTCAGGTACCAGCCACATACTAAGGAACCAGCCACATACTCAGGTACCAGCCACAAACTAAGGTACCAGCCACATACTAAGGAACCAGCCACATACTAAGGAACCAGCCACATACTCAGGTACCAGCCACAAACTAAGGAACCAGCCACATACTCAGGTACCAGCCACATACTCAGGTACCAGCCACATACTAAGGAACCAGCCACATACTCAGGTACCAGCCACATACTAAGGAACCAGCCACATACTAAGGAACCAGCCACATACTCAGGTACCAGCCACATACTCAGGAACCAGCCACATACTAAGGAACCAGCCACATACTAAGGAACCAGCCACATACTCAGGTACCAGCCACATACTAAGGAACCAGCCACATACTCAGGTACCACCAGCCACATACACCAGGTACCAGCCACATACTCAGGTACCAGCCACATACTCAGGAACCAGCCACATACTAAGGAACCAGCCACATACTAAGGAACCAGCCACATACTAAGGAACCAGCCACATACTCAGGTACCAGCCACATACTCAGGTACCAGCCACATACTCAGGAACCAGCCACATACTCAAGGAACCAGCCACATACTCAGGTACCAGCCACATACTAAGGAACCAGCCACATACTCAGGTACCAGCCACATACTCAGGTACCAGCCACATACTCAGGTACCAGCCACATACCAGGAACCAGCCACATACTAAAGGTACCAGCCACATACTAAGGAACCAGCCACATACTAAGGAACCAGCCACATACTCAGGTACCAGCCACATACTAAGGAACCAGCCACATACTCAGGTACCAGCCACATACTCAGGTACCAGCCACATACTAAGGAACCAGCCACATACTCAGGTAACCAGCCACATACTCAGGTACCAGCCACATACTCAGGTACCAGCCACATACTCCAGGTACCAGCCACATACTCAGGTACCAGCCACATACTAAGGAACCAGCCACATACTAAGGAACCAGCCACATACTCAGGTACCAGCCACATACTAAAGGAACCAGCCACATACTCAGGTACCAGCCACATACTCAGGTACCAGCCACATACCAGGAACCAGCCACATACTCAGGTACCAGCCACATACTCAGGAACCAGCCACATACTCAGGAACCAGCCACATACTAAGGAACCAGCCACATACTCAGGTACCAGCCACATACTCAGGAACCAGCCACATACTAAGGAACCAGCCACATACTAAGGAACCAGCCACATACTCAGGCACCAGCCACATACTAAGGAACCAGCCACATACTCAGGTACCAGCCACATACTCAGGTACCAGCCACATACTAAGGAACCAGCCACATACTCAGGTACCAGCCACATACTCAGGTACCAGCCACATACTCAGGTACCAGCCACATACTCAGGTACCAGCCACATACTCAGGAACCAGCCACATACTCAGGTACCAGCCACATACTAAGGAACCAGCCACATACTCAGGTACCAGCCACATACTCAGGTACCAGCCACATACTCAGGTACCAGCCACATACTCAGGTACCAGCCACATACTCAGGTACCAGCCACATACTCAGGTACCAGCCACATACTCAGGTACCAGCCACATACTCAGGTACCAGCCACATACTCAGGTACCAGCAGGTACCAGCCACATACTCAGGTACCAGCCACATACTCAGGTACCAGCCACATACTAAGGAACCAGCCACATACTCAGGTACCAGCCACATACTAAGGTACCAGCCACATACTAAGGAACCAGCCACATACTCAGGTACCAGCCACATACTCAGGTACCAGCCACATACTCAGGTACCAGCCACATACTCAGGTACCAGCCACATACTCAGGTACCAGCCACATACTAAGGAACCAGCCACATACTCAGGTACCAGCCACATACTAAGGAACCAGCCACATACTAAGGAACCAGCCACATACTCAGGTACCAGCCACATACTCAGGAACCAGCCACATACTAAGGAACCAGCCACATACTAAGGAACCAGCCACATACTCTCAGGTACCAGCCACATACTAAGGAACCAGCCACATACTAAGGTACCAGCCACATACTCAGGTACCAGCCACATACTCAGGTACCAGCCACATACTCAGGTACCAGCCACATACTCAGGTACCAGCCACATACTCAGGAACCAGCCACATACTCAGGTACCAGCCACATACTCAGGTACCAGCCACATACTCAGGTACCAGCATACTCAGGATTTACCAGCCACATACTCAGGTACCAGCCACATACTAAGGTACCAGCCACATACTCAGGTACCAGCCACATACTAAGGAACCAGCCACATACTCAGGTCACCAGCCACATACTCAGGTACCAGCCACATACTCAGGTACCAGCCACATACTCAGGTACCAGCCAGCTCAGGTAACCAGCCACATACCTCAGGTACCAGCCACATACTAAGGAACCAGCCACATACTCAGGTACCAGCCACATACTCAGGTACCAGCCACATACTCGGGTACCAGCCACATACTCAGGTACCAGCAGCCACATACTCAGGTACCAGCCACATACTCAGGTACCAGCCACATACTCAGGTACCAGCCACATACTCAGGTACCAGCCACATACTCAGGTACCAGGCCATACCAGGTACCAGCCACATACTCAGGTACCAGCCACATACTCGGGTAGCCAGCCACATACTCAGGTACCAGCCACATACTCAGGTACCAGGCCAACATACTCAGGTACCAGCCACATACCAGCCACATACTCAGGTACCAGCCACATACTCAGGTACTCAGGTACCACATACACAGGTACCAGCCACATACTCAGGTACCAGCCACATACTCAGGTACCAGCCACATACTCAGGTACCAGGTACCAGCCACATACAGGAACCAGCCACATACTCAGGTACCAGCCACATACTCAGGTACCAGCCACATACTAAGGAACCAGCCACATACTCAGGTACCAGCCACATACTCAGGTACCAGCCACATACTCAGGTACCAGCCACATACTCAGGTTAGCCCACACTACAATAAGGCCACATACTCAGGTACCAGCCACATACTCAGGTACCAGCCACATACTCAGGTACCAGCCACATACTCGGGTACCAGCCACATACTCAGGAGACCAATACGTACTCAGCAGTTGCCACACGTACTCAGGTACCAGCCACATACTCAGTATTGCCAGCCACATGCCATTACCAGCCACATACTCAGGTACCAGCCACATACTCAGGTAACGACTACGTAACCACATACTAAGGTACCAGCCATACTCAGGTACCAGCCACATACTAAGGAACCAGCCACATACTCAGGTACCAGCCACATACTCAGGTACCAGCCACATACTCAGGTAGCCAGCCACATACTCAGGTACCAGCCACATACTCAAAGGAACCAGCCACATACTCAGGTACCAGCCACATACTCAGGTACCAGCCACATACTCAGGTACCAGCCATATACACATACTAAGGAACCAGCCACATACTCAGGTACCAGCCACATACTCAGGTACCAGCCACATACTCAGGTACCAGCCATATACACATACTAAGGAACCAGCCATATACTCAGGTACCTCAGGTACCAGCCACATACTCAGGTACCAGCCACATACTCAGGTACCGATACATGCAGGTACATGCTACATGGTAAGGTACCAGCCACATGGTACAGTACATGCCACATGGTAGGGTAGTACAGCCACATGGTACAGTACATGCCTCATGGTAGGTACCAGCCACATGGTACAGTACATGCCTCATGGTAAGGTACCAGCCACATGGTACAGTACATGCCTCATGGTAAGGTACCAGCCACATGGTACAGTACATGCCTCATGGTAAGGTAACAGCCACATGGTACAGTACATGCCTCATGGTAAGGTAACAAGCACAAACAAAGGATACAGAGGTGACTGCAGTAGGCAATCCGTAATGATACCTAGGCTGTTCTGTGTGTAGAAAAAATAGATGGCACTGATATGTTGATTCTTTGTTTATTATTTTGAATCAAGCATTTATAAGTTGATGGAACTATAATGAGTGAATTATTGGATCATGTAATTTTTCTCAAACAGTTCTCAAAGAGACAAGTGATTAGATTGGCAAGGTTCCCCTCAGAGTTCACAAGAGTCTCAGAGGCACCAGATATTACCGCTTTCTATATTACATGGGTGTATCTGGCCATCGTGTACTTGGATGTATGATGCTTTATAACATTCATGGGGCGATGGGGTAGCCTAGTTGTTAAAGCGTCCTCTCATCATGCGGATGGCCTGGGTTCGATTCCCCATATGGGTACAATGTGTGAAGCCCATTTCTGGTGTAGTAGTATACACAATGGTGGAACTGCATCAGGTCCTTCCAAAGGCTTAATTTCCAAATTAAGCCTTTGTTAAGTCCCTAATCCCGTACTCTAACATTCATTCCGCTATAATTGATTTTTCAAAATGTATTTTGAAGTGTATGACCAATATTAATTTGATTGAAATGATTGCATTTGTAATTTGTGTTTAGTAAAAGTTTCTGCATAAACATCATTATATGTAAAATGTTTTCATGTTTTATGATACTTTAAAAATTGATTGTCACTGTGTAGAGCTGAAGAGGATCTACCTGTATCCAACACCCTGCAGTCCACGGTTGACACCAGTAAACCAAGACTGAACAACCAAACAAAGGTAAGGCACCAAGACTTTCCTCAAAGTCAGCATTGTAGGTCTCACAGTCTGTGTTGACGTTAACTCACTCACTCATGAACTCACTCATGTATTTTGTGTTTCAGGAGTTTGTTGGCCTCGAGTTCTCATACCGAGCCAGCAAACCCCTCACTAAACTGACCATGCCGCTGCAAGGGGAGGTAAGTTCTCGTACTTCCCACAGTGATATCCTGTGTATGAAGCTCTCTATCCTATCTCTGCCACCAGTCACTGCCTCCCACAGTGATATCCTGTGTATGGAGCTCTATATCCTGTCTCTGCCACCAGTCACTGCTTCCCACAGTGATATCCTGTGTATGGAGCTCTCTTTCCTATCTCTGCCACCAGTCACTGCATCCCACAGTGATATCCTGTGTATGGAGCTCTCTTTCCTATCTCTGCCACCAGTCACTGCTTCCCACAGTGATATCCTGTGTATGGAGCTCTCTTTCCTATCTCTGCCACAAGTCACTGCCTCCCACAGTGATATCCTGTGTATGGAGCTCTCTTTCCTATCTCTGCCACAAGTCACTGCTTCCCACAGTGATATCCTGTGTATGGAGCTCTCTATCCTATCTCTGCCACAAGTCACTGCTTCCCACAGTGATATCCTGTGTATGGAGCTCTCTTTCCTATCTCTGCCACAAGTCACTGCCTCCCACAGTGATATCCTGTGTATGGAGCTCTATATCCTGTCTCTGCCACCAGTCACTGCTTCCCACAGTGATATCCTGTGTATGGAGCTCTCTTTCCTATCTCTGCCACCAGTCACTGCATCCCACAGTGATATCCTGAGTATGGAGCTCTCTATCCTGTCTCTGCCACCAGTCACTGCTTCCCACAGTGATATCCTGTGTATGGAGCTCTCTTTCCTATCTCTGCCACCAGTCACTGCATCCCACAGTGATATCCTGTGTATGGAGCTCTCTTTCCTATCTCTGCCACCAGTCACTGCTTCCCACAGTGATATCCTGTGTATGGAGCTCTCTTTCCTATCTCTGCCACCAGTCACTGCTTCCCACAGTGATATCCTGTGTATGGAGCTCTCTATCCTGTCCCTGCCACCAGTTACTGCTTCCCACATCCCTTAATCCATCATATTTTTAGGAGCTGTGACCAATGCTGTGTAATGAAAAGATGACAGATAGACAGATTTTCAATGCTGTGTAATGAAAAGGTGACAGAGAGATGACCAATTCTGTGTAATGAAAAGGTGACAGAGAGATGACCAATTCTGTGTAATGAAAAGATAACACAGAGATGACCAATGCTGTGTAATGAAAAGGGACAGAGAGATGACCAATGCTGTGTAATGAAAAGATGTCATCTTTTTATTACACTGCATTGGTCATCTCTCTAATTATGATCTTTTCATTTTTACTCTTCATGGCTTAACCACACATCTTTTCTATCCATTATTTTCTCACAGAGCTTGAAGAACCCATCCCTTGCTCGCCGTGTGGTCATCATTCACTTAACCGGGCAGAAGTTGGAGTCTACTGTGGATCCCAGCACCACTGGACGTCAGCTGTTTGATGCTGTCATTGCTCACCTTGGCATTGTTGAGTTCTTCTTCTTTGGTCTGTCATACGTCAATGGTAATACACAGTGACAGAACTTCTGAAGGATATTCAAAAGACTCCTAAAATAATTTGAAATGGTATTGATGTAGGTTCTTGCGAGGCATATTGAAGTTGGTATTAGACAAGTATAAAACAAAATATTATGGATGTCAACTTCTTGTTTATTCTATACACAATGTTTCTGGGCTTTTCCTTGCCCCTTTGTCAGGTATTGATGTAATACAACATGCAAGAAACAGGTTCCACTCAACTGAAGGCCACAACTTTATAGATTTTCAGTATCTGGTACATCACAGATTATGATATAAATGTATGTATTAACATACCACAGTAATGAAAGATGTGTAGAATTATTGGTTCATGTGTCAAGACAACAAAAATAATAATACATTGATACACTGTATAAACAGAAGAGAGAAAATGGTAGTTATATAGGATTTGAAATATTCATGTGGCAACAGAATTAAGGTGATGTTTTGTTGGTGTTGACAGAGAGTGAGCACTTCTTCCTGGAGGGTGATACAAAACTCCACAAGGTGGCGCCAGAAGGTTGGAGGGACTGGAACAAAGGCTGTGTCTCCACAATCACCCTCACCCTTCACTTCAGAGTCAAATACTACGTTGATGCTGTGACAGATCTTAGGTAAGGCTTATGTTCTTGGAAACAATGTGTATCCAGGTACAAGATCTCAGCTGTTTCATTGTCAGGTTTCGCTGGCATTGTCAACTGGCACCTTGACCTGGGATGTTATCAATACACAATGCATTTTCAACCCCAAAAGATCTAGAATCTGAGTAATCTCACTTTCTAAGGGAAGGATCAAAACTGACTCTGAGGTTTTGATCCAACTTATGAACCGACTGAAGCTATACTTTAGATATAATTTGAAATTTTTAAAACTTATCCTATCTCGCAGTATGCACTTCTCTTTCTTACTTAGACCATCGTCTGGAAACGTGCTGTAGGCAAAGTTGAACAAAATCTTCTGGCCTCTCTACCACCTGATCATTCCTCACAGCTACCAGTCTTGGACACGTCAAGGGGGTGGAAAAAACTTTTCTGCTGCAGATCCCAATACTTGATGCGTGGATCACATCAGCTGATGCGATTGGTCTCGTAGTTGGTCTTTCTGTTCTAACATATATGATGATGATTTTGCCGTTTATTGTAAGGTTGGTAGCAGGTGAGTGGCAGACAGGGACCGTAGGAGACTTTCTGAGGGTCCCTCAGCTTCTAAACAATCTAAGCTGGATCGTCTTTATAAGTTTGCTCGGCTTTGTTCACCTTCTCCGGAGGAGGATTTTTTTAGATGATCTGTCGGACTCTTATCTTGTGAAAATCTACAACGACTATTCTGTCCTCATACTTCTAGTCCAGTTACTAGACATGCTGATTCTCCCACTTGAGTGGTGGTGTTTCATACTTCGCCTTTCCAGTCTTGTTGAATGGCTCTCGTGATGATCTCTCAATCACAAGGAATGGCAGTGTCAGCTCCAAGTGGCAGTGTGTCTCAATTTTACGGTTCGGTGATCTCCATTTCTACAATCACTTATTGTATTGACGGCAATTCCATCAACTCCAGTGATGCTTTCTAGTTTGACGATTCCCCTCAGTTTGGCGGTTCCGATTAATTCGACGCTCCAGCATAGTGTGCACCTCATGTTTGGTTTGGCGCTTCAGACCAGTGCGCCGATTCCATTCAGTTTGGCGCTTCAGTCTAGTGGGCTGATCCCGTCCGATTCGGCGCTTCATACAAGTGCGCTGCTCCCGTTATGTTCGGCACTTCAGACTAGTGTGTGGCTCCCGTTTGGTCCGATACTTCAGACCAGTGCGCCACTCTCGTTTAGTTCGTCGCTTCAGTCCAGTGCGCTACTCTCGTTTGGTTTGGTGTTTCAGACCAGTGCACTGCTCTCGTTTGATTCGGCACTTCAATACAGTGTGGCGCTCTCTCTTAGTTCTACGGTCTTGGCTATATGTAACAGTACAGTGATCCCTGCCAGTTTGTCGGCTTCTGTCAGTGTGGCGGTCCCAAAACAACCTGTTTTGACGTCACTTCAACAGATTTTGTCTATTTCTACTACACCATCTACGTTGGCGATCTCATCTCGGATGACAGCACCAGCTCCCACTACGTCTTCCCGACCTGTTATTCATGTATCTTAGGATTATACATGGGATAGTTCTGGTCCCCAGGCTTTTCACTTTGATGCAGCAGTTCGAGCAGTAGCCAATGCTCTTGGCTGGGACCCTCCCCAAACGGTTACTACAGGTATTGCAGGATCCTTCATCTGGTCCCTCTTTAGATGAAGCTAACCTTTCTGCCACTCCATCCCCCTGTCGGAGTGCCTCTCTACATCAGAGGGCAGTATTGATGCTGTGGAGACCCCGCAACTTCTGACGTGGATTGCAGATAATTTGAAACTACCACGGCGTAGGTCTTCAGAAGATTTGCTGTCTTCCTGTGACATGAAGCTAGGTCAGGCCTTGTATCACACAATTGGCTACGTCTCTGGATGAAGTTTTAAACAATTTACGGAAAGTAAAGAATGGGTTTGCCACTCCCCGGTTTAACCTAGCTGCAGTGCATGTTCATGCTTTTGCTTAACTTAGGTTGCTTCACCACCCATTGACGACGATGTTGTATTGTTGGGAACTAAACAATGGACCTACTCCCCTTTTTTGGTGGAAGATCGACAGCCATGGTCCGGACGGATGCTCTTCAATGAGGCAATTAGAGATGTTGCTGTCACAGTTAGTCAGGATACTCAGCTCCAGGTGTCTGGAACTTTTGAAGTTTCAATGACTGCAGGTTGACGATTCCAGGTGCATTATGTCCCTAAAAACCCAGAACTGCGTACTTTGTCTTCTGCTCCTTTTCGCGGTTGATCCTCCTACCGTATTCCTCTCAGGAGACAGCAGCGTCCTTTCACCAGTTCCCAAAGCGCCTATAAGTCCGACCAGACACATGCGGCAGGATCCTCAAAACAGTGACTCGATGACATCACCACACGACTGGGATCTTCCGCCTCCAGTTGTGCTGGTTGTGGATTCTCCAGTCGGCGGAAGACTTGGCATTTATGCAAAGACGATTTTTGACGATGCGTTCGTTCAGTCAACAATTTCCACGGGATGCAAGCCTCCCATAGTAGGCTCTTCTCCCTTGACGTTACACCCGGTTCAAAGGACATATCCTGCAGCTCAGTCAGCTGTTCTGAGAACCACAATAGACACTTTAGACACTCGGTAGCTCTACTTTGCACCATCCTCGAGCCGGGCCAGTATATGGTCAGTCTGGATGTTCAACATGCTTATCTCCACATGCCGATATTTCACGGACATAGCAAGTTTCTCCGCTTCATTTACGAGGGTATCCACTATCAGCGGCGCATCCTCCCAATTGGAATTTCCATGGCCCCGTGGTTATTCACTCGGGCCCCGAAGCCTATTACTCGGTTTCTCCAAGCCAAAGGGATTGTCTTCGAGGCCTACATAGATGACTGTGTCCAGGCTCAGAGAGTATTTCAAGATTCAATGTTTACTCTAAAAGGTCCTCATTCCAAGATTATTCCCTAAGTGGAGTTTATCTACTGTCCTATCAGCCTTCTTAGTAGAACCCTTTTGAGAGAAAACACTATTCAACAAATCCAAGAAAACTGCCACTGGCACAACAGCCACTTAAGGGTATCTGCTGTAGAGGGGCAGTGGAGTAGCTTAAAGGTTAAAGCATCTGTTCCTCACGCTAAAGACCTGGGTTCAATTCCCCACATGGGTACAATGTGTGAAGCCCATTTCTGGTGTCCCCCCGCTAGATATTGCTAGAGTATCGGCAGACATCTGACTATATCTGTGATGGTTATCTGCAGACATCTGACTATATCTGTGATAGTTATCTGCAGACATCTGACTATATCTGTGATAGTTATCTGCAGACATCTGACTGTATGTATCTGTGATAGTTATCTGCAGACATCTGACTGTATGTATCTGTGATGGTTATCTGCAGACATCTGACTGTATCTGTGATGGTTATCTGCAGACATCTGACTGTATATATCTGTGATAGTTATCTGCAGACACCTGACTGTATATAACTGTGATAGTTATCTGCAGACATCTGACTATATCTGTGATAGTTATCTGCAGACATCTGACTATATCTGTGATAGTTATCTGCAGACATCTGACTGTATATATCTGTGATGGTTATCTGCAGACATCTGACTGTATATATCTGTGATAGTTATCTGCAGACATCTGACTGTATATATCTGTGATAGTTATCTGCAGACACCTGACTGTATATATCTGTGATGGTTATCTGCAGACATCTGACTATATCTGTGATAGTTATCTGCAGACATCTGACTATATCTGTGTTGGTTATCAGCAGACATCTGACTGTATATATCTGTGATGGTTATCTGCAGACATCTGACTGTATATATCTGTGATAGTTATCTGCAGACATCTGACTGTATATATCTGTGATGATTATCTGCAGACACCTGACTGTATATATCTGTGATAGTTATCTGCAGACATCTGACTATATCTGTGATGGTTATCTGCAGACATCTGACTATATCTGTGATAGTTATCTGCAAACATCTGACTGTATATATCTGTGATGGTTATCTGCAGACATCTGACTGTATATATCTGTGATAGTTATCTGCAGACATCTAACCGTATATATCTGTGATGGTTATCTGCAGACATCTGACTGTATATATCTGTGATGGTTATCTGCAGACATCTGACTGTATATATCTGTGATAGTTATCTGCAGACATCTGACTGTATATATCTGTGATAGTTATCTGCAGACACCTGACTGTATATATCTGTGATGGTTATCTGCAGACATCTGACTATATCTGTGATAGTTATCTGCAGACATCTGACTATATCTGTGATGGTTATCTGCAGACATCTGACTGTATATATCTGTGATGGTTATCTGCAGACATCTGACTGTATATATCTGTGATAGTTATCTGCAGACATCTGACTGTATATATCTGTGATAGTTATCTGCAGACATCTGACTATATCTGTGATGGTTATCTGCAGACATCTGACTATATCTGTGATAGTTATCTGCAGACACCTGACTGTATGTATCTGTGATAGTTATCTGCAGACATCTGACTGTATATATCTGTGATGGTTATCTGCAGACATCTGACTGTATCTGTGATGGTTATCTGCAGACATCTGACTGTATATATCTGTGATAGTTATCTGCAGACATCTGACTGTATATATCTGTGATGGTTATCTGCAGACACCTGACTGTATATATCTGTGATAGTTATCTGCAGACATCTGACTGTATATATCTGTGATAGTTATCTGCAGACATCTGACGATATATCTGTGATAGTTATCTGCAGACATCTGACTGTATATATCTGTGATAGTTAGCTGCAGACATCTGACTGTATATATCTGTGATGGTTATCTGCAGACATCTGATTGTATTTATCTGTGATGGTTATCTGCAGACATCTGATTATATCTGTGATGGTTATCTGCAGACACCTGACTGTATATATCTGTGATGGTTATCTGCAGACATCTGACTATATCTTTTATGGTTATCTGCAGACATCTGACTGTATATATCTGTGATAGTTATCTGCAGACATCTGACTGTATATATCTGTGATGGTTTTCTGCAGACACCTGACTATATCTGTGATGGTTTCTGCAGACACCTGACTATATCTGTGATGGTTATCTGCAGACACCTGACTATATCTGTGGTTAACTGCAGACACCTGACTATATCTGTGATGGGTATCTGCAGACACCTGACTATATCTGTGATGGGTATCTGCAGACACCCTGACTATATCTGTGATGGTTATCTGCAGACACCTGACTATATCTGTGATGGTTATCTGCAGACACCTGACTATATCTGTGATGGTTATCTGCAGACATCTGACTGTATATATCTGTGATAGTTATCTGCAGACATCTGACTATATCTGTGATGGTTATCTGCAGACATCTGACTGTATATATCTGTGATGGTTTTTTGCAGACACCTGACTATATCTGTGATGGTTATCTGCAGACATCTGACTGTATATATCTGTGATAGTTATCTGCAGACATCTGACTGTATATACCTGTGATGGTTTTCTGCAGACACCTGACTTTATCTGTGATGGTTTTCTGCAGACACCTGACTATATCTGTGATGGTTATCTGCAGACACCTGACTACATCTGTGATGGTTTTCTGCAGACACCTGACTACATCTGTGATGGTTATCTGCAGACACCTGACTACATCTGTGATGGGTATCTGCAGACACCTGACTATATCTGTGATGGGTATCTGCAGACACCTGACTATATCTGTGATGGTTATCTGCAGACACCTGAGCAGCCACCACCTGCTGTACCTTCAACTGCGCCATGATGTGCTGGAGGAGCGCGCCCTCTGCACCGAGGAGCAAGCAGTCTGCCTGGCAGGTCTGGCACTACAGTCCGAGTTTGGAGACCAGGAGACCCTGAGCAGGAACTACTTTGTGCCGGAACAGTATTTCCCAGGCCATGTGATTCGCCGACTTGGAATGGGCGTTGTGAGAGAGAAAGGGTTGGAGGCACACAGGCTGAATGCTGGACTGCCACCAACACAATCTGAGCTTGAGTACATCAAGGTGAGAGTCTATCCACAGACACTAAATGTTTTCTTCCATCTGTATGACTGCAGTCTGTAAGTAAATATGTCTGGAATATATCAACTTGTTTGCAGATTAAATCATGATCATTATCATCAGGTTTCAGTCAGTCTCACCATACATTTCAACCAGCAGAGTTTATACTGGTGCTGCAGCCATGAAATAGTGGTATTACCATCCGTTATGAACCACAGGCTATGGGTTGTGAGTGTGATATCTTGGATTCCATAGGGGAAGAAGACACTCTATCATAACAATATTTACACAATATACATCAGATAAAAATCACATGTGATGAACATATGCCTTCATAAAGAATAAGATACACAAATGTGCCTGTCTGTAATCTTATGTGGGTATTACACAATAATACAATATAACACAGGGTACTTTACTGGTCACATGTTACAGTAATGAACAAAATGACTTCGTATATAGACTATTATTATAACGTGGCACAATAATGAAACAGACTGTAGATATAAACCTACGCTGTGGTTGACACAGTAGTGTGTCCATGCACCAAGTCTAAGTAAACTTAGGCTCAGTATTATTCGTTCCACTGCTATACTGAGTCTAACAAAACCTAGTAGAAGGTCGCGTCAGCTAACCTTTTGGACTGACCAATCAGAATACAGCTTACCAAATCGCGAAAGTTAACATTCGCACATACCGTTTGAACCTTTACCTAAAAAACTCGAACGATTCCGAATGCTATTTTATGCACGATCGCTTCCGAGTGATACACTCAATGAGTAAAGCAGTCGCTGAAAATAGCGTTTTTGTCAATATTCAAGGATGTCATCTTGCGAAAATATAAGCAAATAGTAACCATGTCATTAAGAACCCATAAGCCTACTTTCTGCATGTCAAATATCTGTTTTATGCATATTTTCATTTGTTGATAGATCAGTGTCAGCTATCAGGGAAGAGAAAATCCCCAAACCGCTTTGTAAGTCCCGGCGCACCCTAACCAGTAGTTGTTGTCTGATTGGTTAAATCCGTTCAGCCATCTCGCGTTTGATTGGATGGTCATAGGTCGCTCAAAGGTTAGCTGACGCGACCTTCTACTAGGTTTTGTTAGACTCAGTATAGCAGTGTAACGAATAATACTGAGCCTAAGTTTACTTACACTGTCCATGCACCCAGCAGCCGAGCAGCCAACACGTGCAATAATCCTACATACAACCAGCAGACAACACGTGCAATAATCCTACATACAACCAGCAGACAACACGTGCAATAATCCTACATACAACCAGCAGTCAACACATGCAATAATCCTACATACAACCAGCAGCCAACACGTTCAATACTCCTACATACAACCAGCTGCCAACACGTGCAATAATCCTACATACAACCAGCAGTCAACACGTGCAATAATCCTACATACAACCAGCTGCCAACACGTTCAATACTCCTACATACAACCAGCTGCCAACACGTGCAATAATCCTACATACAACCAGCAGTCAACACGTGCAATAATCCTATATACAACCAACAGTCAACACGTGCAATAATCCTACATACAACCAGCAGTCAACACGTGCAATAATCCTACATACAACCAGCAGTCAACACGTGCAATAATCCTACATACAACCAGCTGCCAACACGTTCAATAATCCTACATACAACCAGCAGCCAACACGTTCAATACTCCTACATACAACCAACAGTCAACACGTGCAATAATCCTACATACAACCAGCAGTCAACACATGCAATACTCCTACATACAACCAGCAGTCAACACATGCAATAATCCTACATACAACCAGCTGCCAACACGTTCAATACTCCTACATACAACCAGCAGCCAACACGTGCAATAATCCTACATACAACCAGCTGCAACACATGTCAATACTCCTACATACAACCAGCAGTCAACACATGCAATAATCCTACATACAACCAGCAGTCAACACGATGCAATAATCCTACATACAACCAGCTGCCAACACGTTCAATACTCCTACATACAACCAGCAGCCAACACGTGCAATAATCCTACATACAACCAGCAGCCAACACATGCAATAATCCTACATACAACCAGCAGTCAACACATGCAATAATCCTACATAGAACCAGCTGCCAACACGTTCAATACTCCTACATACAACCAGCAGCCAACACGTGCAATAATCCTACATACAACCAGCTGCCAACACGTTCAATACTCCTACATACAACCAGCAGCCAACACGTGCAATAATCCTACATACAACCAGCAGCCAACACGTTCAATAATCCTACATACAACCAGCAGTCAACACATGCAATAATCCTACATACAACCAGCAGCCAACACGTTCAATAATCCTACATACAACCAGCAGCCAACACGTTCAATAATCCTACATACAACCAGCAGCCAACACATGCAATAATCCTACATACAACCAGCAGCCAACACATGCAATAATCCTACATACAACCAGCAGCCAACACGTTCAATAATCCTACATACAACCAGCAGTCAACACGTGCAATAATCCTACATACAACCAGCAGTCAACACATGCAATAATCCTACATACAACCAGCAGCCAACACATGCAATAATCCTACATACAACCAGCTGTCAACACATGCAATAATCCTACAAACAACCAGCAGCCAACACGTGCAATACTCCTACATACAACCAGCAGTCAACACATGCAATAATCCTACATACAACCAGCAGCCAACACGTTCAATAATCCTACATACAACCAGCAGTCAACACGTGCAATAATCCTACATACAACCAGCAGTCAACACATGCAATAATCCTACATACAACCAGCAGCCAACATGTTCAATAATCCTACATACAACCAGCAGCCAACACGTTCAATACTCCTACATACAACCAGCAGTCAACACATGCAATAATCCTACATACAACCAGCAGTCAACACATGCAATAATCCTACATACAACCAGCAGCCGAGCAGCCAACACGTTCAATAATCCTACATACAACCAGCAGCCAACACGTTCAATACTCCTACATACAACCAGCAGTCAACACATGCAATAATCCTACATACAACCAGCAGTCAACACATGCAATAATCGGCGGGCATCACCCTTTTCCAGTACGTGGCCAGATGTCTACACCAAGCCTTTACTAAGGAAGCCTTGGGCAGTGCCTACCCTGTTTGACGGTGGCATCCGGCAGTTGTCACGTGAAGTATCTCAAGACTCCAAAGACTTGATGTTGCTCAAGTCCGTACAGACGATGAACACCATGGTGCGTCAATCAACTCAGCGTAGTCAACTAAGATCCCGTTTCTCTGGTATTCAGAGAGCCAAAGATAAGAAGGTTGCGACTTCACTTGGCGGCAACATGGGATCTTTTCGTCGTCCCAGTAACGTCAGAAGTTACTCAGGCCGAGGCAGGATCTCCAGCAGTAGCAGAAGATCCCGTTACTGAAGAGAAGGTTTGGAGCGACTGGTCGCTTCCACCCCCAGCCGTTCCGGTATAACCGTCATCCGTTGGTGGACGTCTGGGACTATACTGGGAAAATTGGAGAATACTACGGGACGATTACGTCACAGAAGTCTTACAAGAGGGCTACAGCATCCCGTTGCAGTCGACACCACCGTTGACAGATCAACCCTGGGTCTTATAGTACCTGCAACTACAGCGAGACAAGCTCACCGAAGCTGTCGAGATGTTGGTGGTAAAAGATGCAGTAGAGGTAGTCGATCAACGCGGACTGATGCCCGGGTATTATTCTCCAATTTTCCTGGTACCAAAGAAGAACTTCCAAGAGAAGTTCCGTCTAATCTTCAATATGAAGAGCTTCAACAAGGATTACCTGTTGAAACCAGAGAAGTTCAAGATGTTACATCTGCCTCAGCTGAGACATCTTATCCGACTTCATGGCCAGCATAGATCTGCAAGATGCCTATCTGCATATACCAATACATCCAGAATCACGGAAATACCTGAGATTCCTGTTCGAAGGTCGTCATTACCAATGGAAGGTACTGCCGTTTGGAATTTCGTCGGCCCCGTGGTTATTTACGCGAATAACCAAACCGATTGTCGTTTATCTACATCAGAGGGGCGTACGAAGTGCCTTCTACCTACACGACGGCATCCAGGCACATCAAGATGCAGATCAACTCAAACTACAACTGCAGTTTACGATCAACCTATTGACACAGTTGGGCTGGCTGGTAAATCATCAGAAGTCGGAGTTGGAGCCGACCCAAGATCTACAATTCTTAGGCATCAGATTCCTGACGTCAGAAAATCGCATTCTGGTGCCAGACGACCGATGGCAGAGCATCCAGTCGTGCATACCAGACGCTCTCAACAATCCACTAGACTTGAGAACATGGCAGCGAATCTTGGGTCTATTGAGGCAGAGGAAGATTACAACTTCGTCCGCTACAACGGTTCCTGATAGAGCATCTAGACGATGTCCAGAAGTTTGCCATCGCACAACATCTAAAGCAAGCCTTGCTTTAGTGGACAATAAAGTCGAATGTTTGCGGTGGAACCTATTTGAGAGAGCCAAATTACAACAGACATCTCTACGTGGATGCGTCCCTCCAAGGTTGGGGGGCACATCTCAACGACGAAGTTATGGCAGGGGCAAAGAACATCTTAGCAGACGCTCTATCCAGACCAGTACGGCCATCTCCCACAGAGCGGAAGTTACATCCGGAGGTGTTCCAGTGGATAACAGCCCAGCTAGGCTGTCCTCACATAGATCTGTTTGCGACTCGCTTCAACAATCAGGTGACAACATTTGTCTCGCCAGTGCCAGACCCGCTGGCATGGGCTGTCGAGGCCTCAGCCATATCATGGGAAGAGAGGTACTTCGCAAGATCAACCGGACGAGGGTCCTAAAACTGACTTTGGTAGTGCCTTACTGGCCAACAAGACTATGGTTCCCAGACCTCATAGATCTTCACGGCGAACCTGTACTACGACTCCCAGACTGGCCGAATCTACTCGTCCA